GGTGGGTTCTTATAGCGCGTCCTCGTCCTTTGATGGGTGCAGAGGGCGGCTCGGGCTACTGTTGGGTAACTGGGTCATCGCGACTATGTGGTGGTACTGTAGGCATCGAGGCTCTCTGATGGATGCTATTTGGAGATTGTTGCTCTGTGGAGAGTACTAAGGACGGCGTCTGTGGGGTGAAGGAGCTAAGGTCGTCGTCTTAATCGCATAGTTGCTAGGCGCTTTGTGGCCCCCTGGTGTGTGTTTACTGCGTTGTTGCCCTCTGGAGAGGCTGGTGTCGTCGCGGGTCTTCAGTGGGTGCTGGGATGTTGCAGCCCTCTGGTGGGTGCTAGGGTCGTTGTCATTGGGGCTTTGGCGATTGATCTTATAACGTGAAATCCGTCATAGTAGGGATCAGTTCTGACTGATATCCGTAGAAATCCGTGCCTGAGTAGGGATCAGTTTTATTCAACGGCTGCTAGCAAGAATAGAAAGTGATGTTTCGATGTAATGTTCAGTGATGGACAGCCATAACCTTAATAATACTCGACGAAATCCAAAGTCCGTTTGTTAGATTCCAGTCTAAACGATACTCTTAGGGAGAGACAAGCTACGTCACTGATTGCGGCCCCGCTATTGGAAATATAGCGACTGATCTTGCAAGATAAGTTCTGACAGAACCGTTGTGGCATTTTGGCCGATGCAGGGAGAATAGAACTGTTGGCACTGAAGAAATAGGCCCGTGGCCTGTTGCCGATTCTTGTACTTTAGTGGCTTTTTGGTTGGTGCTGGGAAATTAAACAGGCAGGCGAGTGCCGTTCTCCATTTATTCACATAATAATCACAACACTACATCAGTTACCTTCTGGGGGAGCTGATGGAGTCGTCCCTGCTGGCGCTGCTGGTGGGAGTGACCATGACTGTGCTGGGCAACGTCCCATTCGTCATGGTATCGCTCTCCTACACCCACCTCCCTCTGCACCTCTACATCATCCTGGTGGGTGTACCTCCCTCTGCACCTCTACATCAGTCTCTTATACACATCTAGATGTGTATAAGAGACAGGNAATGCGTAGCTCGTCTCCGGGGCACATAGTGCACCGGAACTTTTTCTCAGACATTTTGAATGTTGTGCATAACTTCATTTCGTTTCTACAGGTATCATTTCTTGTGTCTTTTATATGCTAACTATCAAAGATAAATGTAACGTACCCTCAAAGTTCCGTTGAACCAGACGCCCCGACAATTGCTTCGTAAAATAATAATAATAATGGTGTAGGATGTAAGGGAATCTCAGCTGTGTTCTTCCTTCGATGCACTTCGGAAACCGGATTAATAGTGCAGACTTCGTCCTGTTGATATATTTGAGGCAGCACCTCTGTTGACATGTCTCTCTTCTGCAGAGTCTACTTGCGCCGTCTGGGTTTGGCTTCGGTTTCCGCGTTTTATGCCAGTACGAAATGGCGGCGACGTCGGCCACGTTCCAGAACCTCTTCGTGCCTCCCACTGTCGGTACGTCTGTTATGACAATAGTTGTTATTACGTCTATTGTACCTCATATGTCTGTATACGTCTGTTGCGCCCTAGATTTATGTTGTTAAAAACACTGTTCAACGGCTGTTGTCTTCCCAGTGTAAGGAAAGAGCCGTTTAACACATGTAATGGAAGTTCGAGTGGCCCAGTGGTTAAAGTTCTGAGTACCAAGGTTGGAGCAGAGAGGCGCGGGTTCGATCCCAGCTCTGTGCGCCATATTCTGGTCAGAATCAGCAAGGAGGCCGGGCAGTTAAGCAAAGAAATTTTGTAGCAGTGAGTTGCGAGTTCAAGCCCTCAACAAGCTATGAATGTTCTGCAATGTTAAGAATTGGCGACAGGCCTACGGCCTAATAAAAGCTGAAGCCGCTATTTTTATTATTATTATAAATCATACCTCATTATCTCGTATTCGTGTAATTCTTTCCTCGCTGTACAGACAGCGAAATGACGTCAGGCTACGCGCTGCTGATGCTGCTGCTGGACGCATGTCTGCTGCTGGTGCTGACGCTGCTACTGCAGCTCTGCAGAGTTGGTCTGTTGCCCTGATTAAGCTTAAAGAAAATGTTCTGTTTTAGACAAGCTGCATTTTATCTAGATCGTTTAAATATGTTGATACTCTGTTATATGTTGTAATCCTCTGTTATACGCCATTATCCTCTGTTTTATGTTGTTATCCTCTGTTATATGTTATTATCCTCTGTTATACGTTGTTATCATCTGTTATACGTTATTATACTGTGTTAAATGTGGTTATCTTCTGTTATACGTTGTTATCCTCTGTTATATGTTGTTATCCTCTTGCTCACATTTCATTGCACTTGCAGGATACAGACGCTGCTTTTCCCCCAAGGTTCACTCCGGCTCTTCGGAGCGACTCTGTGGCAAAGGTAAACATTTGTAACAACTGACAATATATTTAACTTCTGCTGCCTCTTGCAATGTTATCATAGTTAAATGATTGGTATCATGGTTGAATAATTGATATCATAGTTGAATGATTGATATCATAGTTGAATGATTGATATCATAGTTGAATGATAGATATCATAGTTGAATGATAGATATCATAGTTGAATGATAGTCTTGCGACTCTTTCGGTATCGTGGCGTGGCCTGCCTATTTCTGCCCTCTGAGTGGCACTAAATTTGCCAGTTAAGATATCATAGTTGAATGATAGATATCATAGTTGAATGATAGATATCATGGTTGAATAATTGATATCATAGTTGAATGATTGATATCATAGTTGAATGATAGATATCATAGTTGAATGATTTTCTTGCGACTCTTTCGGTATCGTGGCGTGGCCTGCCTATTTCTGCCCTCTGAGTGGCACTAAATTTGCCAGTTAAGAGTGAAAGAAAACGCCCAAATGAGCTCACAAAAGAGCAAAATAGTCCTTGATTTGATATAAATCAGCAACGTTATGACTTGGGGTGCAAAACTCTATTTTTTTTTGTTTATAGCATTTTAAAATTGCACAATGCTTGAGACCAGCATGTGTTTTAAACAGTTAACTGAATTGTAAAAAAGGCATAAATCAGCGAATTGGGCCGGAAAAAGGCCCATCTGGCAACCCTGATTGGAGCAACGTCATGCTGGATAGGTGTTGAGATCACCGAGATCTGACAGCGAGTTGCGGGTTCAAAACCCGGATCTATTTGTAAAAATCATATTGAAATCGGCGAGATGGCTGGGTTCAGAGGTGGCCCGCACCTTGTTGTTCTAAATCTGCCATGTCTATAATGGGCGATAAGCCAAACTTGGCCTGATATTCAACGCTGAAACCAATATATAATTGTGGAATGGAGTAGCGAAGCAAATTATACCGCCCCTTCAAAACGATGTAGACCAGCCTTGTCACGAGGTTTTCGGTGTTGCAGGTTCATGGTTGAACGCTCCTGATGTCACCGCCGTCAAGAATATTCAGCACCAGCAAGTACGTTAACCCACCAGACTCACCTGACCCACAAGACCCTACCGACTTATCAAACTCACTAAATCATGACCCTCCCGATTCACCCAATCCACCCAACTCATCTTTACGTTTCTTGGACGTAATACGTTGCTTGTAGTACGTCACTTCTCAAAACGTTACTTGAACTTTGGCGACGAGTTGTTTAGATACATTTTAGTGAAGGCTTCCTGCACAGTCCATCCTTGTGGTATTATATAAATTTTGAATAAATAAACGATAAATAATAAGTTTTCGTGGGAACTGCCATACATTGTGATGCTAGCTCCATTGTTATGGGCGACTGCAACCTCATAGTTTACACGAGACTGGCATCTAACAGTTTTTTATAATTAAAATGAATACACGTAAATCATGCATTTTAACGAGGAAGTTGACAAGCCTTTAAGGAGGCCGGATTATCGAGTATACATTATTTACTTGCGTACCTACGCTTTGTTCTTTACTAAACCATTTTTCCCCCGCTACACCTGAGGATGTTAGGGTTAAGTATGGTTATCCTTATTGAGTCCGATAAGTAGACCAGAAACAATCATAGGAATCATCATTCCCATTAAATTAGGTATTAATAAAATATTGTATTAAATCAGGAAATGGAAATTAAAATATAAACTAAAATATCTATTTTTGGTCACTATTGGTATGATTTAATCAGATGAAGTCTTGTATTAGATCAATAAATGGGAAACAAAATATAAAGTAAAATATCTCTGTCTTTGTCACTATTGGTACAATTTAATCAGATAAAGTCTTGTAGTGGATCAATAAATGGAAAATATTTATCAAGTAAATATCTCCTGTTTGTCACTATTGGTACAATTTAATCAGATAAAGTCTGGTAGTGGATCAATAAATGGAAAATATTTATCAAGTAAAATATCTCGTTTGTCACTAAAAGTCTTGTAGTAGATCAATAAATGGAAAATAAATATCAAGCAAAATATCTCCAGTTTGTCCCTATTATGACAGGGGTGCGTGCGGTTGTCGCAAGTGAGGTACGCGGTGCAGGGGCGCGCAGGCCGAGGCGGCAGGACGCTGCTGGAGGGCGTCACGCTCGACCTCAAGCAGGGGCACGTCACGGCCCTCCTGGGGCACAACGGCGCCGGCAAGACTACCCTCATGTAGGTTACTACCCTCATGTAGGTGTACCCGCATGTAGGTGTACCCTTGTGTCGGTGACTACCCTCGTGTAGGTGTACCCGCGTGTAGGTGTACCCTCGTGTAGGTGTACCCTCGTGTAGGTGTACCCGCATGTAGGTGTACCCTTGTGTCGGTGACAACCCTCGTGTAGGTGTACCCTCGTGTGGGTGACTACTCTCGTGTAGGGGGAGCTGTGGTGGTGCAGTGGTGAGAGACTGTCTCTCGCACCCAGCACCCGGGTTCGAGTCCCACTGAGGACAAGTTCTACCGGGAAGCTCAGCTCATGGTCAACTCAGCCATTCATCCAACTCTGGTTGATAAATGAGTACCTGGNCTACGCCGCCCTCAAGGGCGTCCCTCGCGCCCTCGTCGGGAGCGAGGTCAAATCGTGAGTGTTGAGGGTAGTGACACTATTAAGACTGGTATATCCTGCAACTAGTGAGACTGGTATATCCTGCAACTATCCTCAGAGGCAACGACTATCGAAGGAATCAGTGAACAATTTGGGGATATCGAGGGAAAGGCTTTTTCATAATCTGGGACGCTTTACTAAAAGACGACGCTTCACTATAAGACGACGCTTCACCAACAGAAGACTCTTCACCAACAGACGACGCTTTACTAACAGAGAACTATTGTTCTGATCTCCCAGATGGCTCGGGAAGCTGGGTTTCGGTGACCACGGAGACCAGCTGTGCTGTCACCTGTCAGAAGGACTCTGTCAGCAGCTGGCTGTTGCGGTAGCCTTCCTGGGCTCCAGTCAGCTGGTGCTGCTGGATGAGCCCACAGCTGGTGTAGACCCCACCGCCCGACGAGCCATCTGGCAGGTACACTAGTGCAACAGGGTCTAATACTACAGCTGGTGTAGACCCTACAGCCAGACGAGCCATCTGGCAGGTACACTAGTGCAACAGGGTCTTATACTACAGCCGGTGTAGACCCCACAGCCCGACGAGCCATATGGCAGGTAGATGGTAACGTATCATTTCTCCCGCAGCTGGTGCAGCTGGAGAAGACGTCGCGTGTGGTGGTCGTTGCGACGCATTTCCTGGACGAGGCCGAGATGCTTGCTGACGTCGTCATCGTCGTTGACCATGTGCGTGTGAACCTGCGAGTGTCGTCACCTATAATACCATCTGCGTTGAAATAATAATACAATATACATTGAACTAATAATACCATGTACATCGAAATAATAATAATATTATAATAATCAAGTGCCCACACCCCTTTCCTCTGCAGGGTCGCGTGGTGGGGCAAGGCCCACCCTGGGAGCTCAAGAGGCAGCTGGGACCAGGGCTACGCGTGAACCTGGTTCGCGGTGAACCCTCAGTGACCATCTGCGTGTGAACCAATAATACCATCTGCGTGTGAACCAATGATGCCATCTGCGTGTGAACCAATGATACCATCTGCGTGTGAACCAATGATACCATCTGCGTGTGAACCAATAATACCATCTGCGTTGAAATAATAATACAATATACATTGAACTAATAATACCATGTACATCGAAATAATGATAATAATATAATTATAATCAAGTGCCCACACCCTTTTCCTATGTAGGGTCGCGTGGTGGGGCAAGGGTCCCCTTGGGAGCTCAAGAGGCAGCTGGGGCCAGGGCTACGCGTGAACCTGGTTCGCGGTGAACCCTCAGTGGCTCGTGCTGGGCTCCCGAGAACCGAGTTTATGGACCGCAGTCACCGCCTCGCCCAGCAGCACCAAGGTGCGGTGCTCTCAGGGTTCTTGGGGTTCAAACTTGTTGACAATGTAGGTTCGGTAGGAAGTTACAGCGATGTGAAGTTCTGAAGAGTTCTGTCAGAGAAGCCAGATATCAGTTGAAGGTAAGAAAAAATGTTGGGATGGGGATGTTGTTAGTGGGACTGGTTATGGGTGTGTAATTTGAGTTTCAAGTCTGCAATATAGGTTACGGGTCTGTAATATGGGTTCCATGTTTGTAAAATGGGTTCCAGGCCTGTAATATGGACTCCAGGTCTGTAATATGGGTTCCAGGCCTGTAATATGGACTCCAGGTCTGTAATATGGGTTCCAGGTCTATATAATGTGGGTTTCAGGTCTGAAATGCGGATTCCAGGTCTACTATGGGTTTTAGGTCTGTAGTATGGGATCATGTTCTGTAATATGGGTTCTAAGGTCTGTAATATGAGTTCCAAGGTCTGAAATATGGGTTCCAGGTCTGTAATACGGGTTGCAGTGTGTAGCAAGGGTTCCAGGCCTGTAATATGTATTCCAGGTCTGTAATATGGTTTCCAGGTCTGTAATATGGGTTCCAGGTCTGTAATATGGCTTACGGGTCTGTAATATGGCTTACGGGTCTGTAATATGGCTTATGAGTCTAATATGGCTTATGGGTCTGGAATATGGGTTACGGGTCTGTAATGTGAGTTCCAGGTCTGCAATATGGATTACGGGTCTGTAATATGGCTTACGGGTCTGTAATATGGCTTATGAGTCTAATATGGCTTATGGGTCTGGAATATGGGTTACGGGTCTGTAATGTGAGTTCCAGGTCTGCAATATGGATTACGGGTCTGTAATATGGCTTACGGGTCTGTAATATGGCTTATGAGTCTAATATGGCTTATGGGTCTGGAATATGGATTACGGGTCTGTAATATGTTTCATGTCTGTAAAATGGGCTCCAGGTCTGTAATATATGTTCTAGGTCTCTAATATGGGTTAAGGGTCCTTAATATGGGTTGCGGGCCTACAAAATGTGTTCCGCGGCTTGTAAGCAAGTTTCAGGGTCGTTCAAATAGCTTTTTCTCGCCTAAAAACTTATTCGTTTATATTTTTTGTGGCAGATGGGGCGAGCGATCGCGTGCTGCAGCTGGTGCAGCAGGTGGTGCCGGAGTGCAGCATCCTGCGGGACACGGCTGAGAGACTCACCCTCACCCTCCCCCACCCCGCGCTGGGGGAGTCCAGGTGGTTACTGGGGGTCTTGGTGGCTGGGGGTGAACCGGAGAATCTTGTTCGAAAAATTGATGCGGAAATTTGAAAAAATGCGAACAGTCAGTGGAGGTACAGTCAGTGATGTTAGTGGCTGTGCAGGCTGTCGGAGGTACAGTCAGTGATGTTAGTGGCTGTGCAGGCTGGCGGAGGTACAGTCAGTTTTGGCCGTGACTGTGCATGCTGGCGGAGGTACAGTCAGTGATGTTAGTGGCTGTGCAGGCTGGCGGAGGTACAGTCAGTGATGCTCATGACTGTGCATGTTGGCGGAGGTACAGTCAGTGTTGGCCGTGACTGTGCAGGCTGGGAGAGNTTCATTTTATACTCACTGAATTTATTTATCGTCACAGGCATTGGTGGTGCCGCTGTTGATGGTGGTGGTGGCGGTGGTGGTTACCAGGACGCGGGTGCCTCCACACAGGGACGTCATCCTGCAGTTCCACGAGGCCTATCCCCCACCACGCTCCATCTTCACCCGGTGGGTGCTGCGGGTTCTGAGGTTGTGTGTGGTTAAGAAATTATTTCCTACCAGCAATTTAGTCGCAGTGTTGTTGACATTGCTCTTACAACTATAATTGTACAAATCAAACGTCATGGCCATTAATTCTTATCATCAGTGTCAGTGTTTTAACAACCGATATTTTTTTTAACTATTTCAACAATCCATTTTCCCTCCTTCAACATGCTGTGGTCCCCCAGGACGCTGGATCCCAACTTTCTGCCACTGCGGGACGCTCTGGTGCTGGACCAGCTGGTCCCCAGCGGGGGCGACGTCCCAGGCGGGGAGCTGGGCTGGCCCAATTGCTCTGTGCACCTGGACCCGCTCTGTGGCAGCGCTGTGCAGGTGCGAACATCGTCAACCGCAGCGCAGAAGTGGACAGCCTCCTGAACATGGTCGTGTCCACCGCGCAGATGCCGTATCCCTGCTACAGCCGCGACGTGTAAGACTGTGCTGTAGGCTTAGCTTCTGGAGCTTTTAGTATTTTGTAAATGGTTTAGTATTTAGTAAATGGTTCAGTATTTAGTGAATGGTTTATTATGTATTACATGGTATAGTATTTAGCACGTGGTTCAGTTTGTCAGTCCTCTTGGTCCTCAAAGCCATGCAATGACAAGCCGAACTTGTGTTCCAACGTTACCTGGTTCCAACGTTATAATACCTTTATAACTAGTTACCTGGTACCTTGTACCAGGTAACTAGTACCTAGAGTTTGTTTAGGGACATCAACCCAAGACCATGCTGGATGCCCCACCCTGGTACCGTACGTCTTATTTTTCGAAATATCATATTTTTCTCTATTCGTAATCCCTTCTATCATCTAAGTAGTACTCTTGTTTTTGTATTTCAGTTTAAAGGTTTTTAACCTTGAATCATGTAACTCCTGACTAACGACCGTTTCACTTAGCAATTACTGAGTTACTGAGAATTTACTGAAGTGTTAACAGTTGTTGCATCTAGCCAATATACAGTAGATGCTTTCTCAGGACTTTCATTTGAAAACTACTGAAGGACCGAAGAGAAATTTATCTCATAATTTTAGCTAGACTGCCAAGAGATTTATTCAGAAATTAGAAAGATGCTGTTGAGTGTTTGGTCTCAGAGCTATCGACTCTAAAGAATCGATTAAGAATTAGTTTCGTATTGATAAAATGCATTATAAATTGAAATTTATTTTCTTTGCAGATTCCTACAGTCTGTGAACGAGTCGCCGGCGCTGAACCTGCTGGTGACGGTCGTGTCATTCCTGGGGCTGCAGGCGCTGCTGCTGAGTCAAAGGACTCTGCAGACAGTGTTGAGTTTACACACTATATTGAAATCTGCATCCTATAAATAACGCACTATGCAAATAATGTGAGACTACAGACTGCAATGAACTACACATACCACATACTAAAATGTATACCTACTACACTGAACGACTCAGTACTCACTTGCATGAATGTGTCAGGGCTTGTGAATGGTACGTATCTCGATAAATACATTCAGAAAAATAAAAGGTTGTTGTACAAATTGCAATGCACTTCTTGCTCTTGTGTGGGTCAAACTGACACTGTTTATTACACCCCAAAAAAGCGTGTTACTGCTACGTGCAGAAAGTGTCACTATTCGTACAATATATCCAATAACTAAAACAAAGATATACTGATTTAAGTATCTGAGTGGATTCACAATCTGTTTCATCTCCTGTTTGGCAAAGTAGTTTCTCTAGCACCACATTTTCCGTCGAACTTACCAGCTGTTGACTATTTACCCATGTTAAATAGGCTATAGGCTAGTACTTTGGAGAAATCATAGGTTCTTTCATCGATATTACACAAGTGCAGGTCTTGATCTCAGCTCAGTGTTAAATCAGCGTCTGCGGCCTAGGGGAGACAACAAAATTTTGATGCTGGCTATCTCATGCCATAAGCGCCGTCAAGGACTCTAGAAAATGTCAAGTCAGTCGTTTTGTGTCCCCTTTAGTTTCTAATTTATGACCTAAGTCAGGCAGCTACGACAGCCTAGGCCTATACTTTAAAAAAAAAACTTAGGAGATCGTGAGTTCATCAGCCAATCATTGACGACCTTTCAAGCAAAATCCACCTATCATAGACAAGAAAATAGAGCGTAAGTAATTAGACTCTTTGAACCGTTCCAGTTTCCCCGATGTGGTCGAATCTTGCAAAAAGAGTTGGAAAGAATTCTCCCCTTTCAAGTATGGGGGTAGAGAAAGGAGTTAAATACCAACGCTACTGATTTTATATGCTCGTTGGAAAAACTTAGTGAGTAGAGTGAGCATGCGATCAAAGTAGAAAACTCACCAATAATGTATCTGCAAAAAATGCTTCCAATCAACCCAAAATGAATAAGGCAAGAACCAGTTGATGTCACCTGCTGTGGAACAGATATACACCAATATTCAAAATCATTAATTTGTGGTACGAACGAGTTCATCGTCAAACCATGCACTAATGACAAGCAACTAGAAATTAGACAGAGTTATATGGTAGCCTTTATAGGTGGATCGAATCGATTACAGGCTTCCAAATCCTATCCATTGTGGCCTGAATTATAGTATGAATGATTGAAAAGCCTAGTGTGGAAAAAGATCTCGAAGTTTATGTCGACAAGGAGCTGAAATTTTCTAAGCATGTTGAAACGCAAGCTAACACATCCAACAAACTTCTTAGTTCACAGTGAAAACCTGTACGAATAGGCTTCTGTATATATTCTATGGTTTCAGGCGCCAGCCTGAGCAGGTAACCAGCACGCTGGCAACCTGCTTTCACTTTGTGCGTACCCTAATGGTAGCCTTTACAGGTGGATTGAATCGATTACAGGCTTCCAAATCCTATTCATCGCTGCCTGAATTATAGTATGAACATTCATAGAGACAATAAGAGGATACTCTAATATGATTAGCCGCATATACACTATTGTAGTGCACTCATCACAATTCCAGTATACAGTTATCATGACCTTGATATACACTTAGGGTACGTACACAGTGAAAGCAGGTTCCCAGCGTGCTGGTTACCTGCTGAGGCTGGCGCCTGAAACAAGCGCGAGAGGGTGTTCACAGAGGAAGCAGGAAAACAGCTGAAATTGAAAGGGTTTATGATTACTGCCGTTCTTCAGGCAAAAATGCTAACCTTTGAGAGGAACGTCTATGTGGTGAAAAAACTTTTTTATTTACGGACAGATCACTTTGAGACTTGGTACACCTATGTAAAACAGAATTATAAGACTTTTTTGTTCGTGTCAATTTTTCGAAATGGAGGGTTTAAAGGTACAACTACTTAAAAAATGACCATATGCCAAGCAGGTTGAGCAGATAAGAATGTGCAGTACATTCCGGTAAATAGGTATATGCAGGTTGTCGGCAGAAGCCTATTCGTACAGGTTTTCACTGTGAACACTTATACATTATTATCCTATGTTCATTCTTGTGGCAGGTTGGAGCAGGTTGCCCGCGCGCGGCAAACCTGCTTTCACTGTGTGCGTACCCATATACCTGAAGTCAGATTTCTCAATGAAGTTTTCCGCTAACTCAGCGTCTGATCGAGTGTCAAGGTGAAAAAAATTACCTAGTGATCCATGATGGACGATTGTCACCACAGCTCCTTGAACGTCATGGTGAACCGCTAAAAGATCACAGTGAAGTTTGAGTGGGAATTCAGCACCAGCTTCATTAAAGAATTACCAGGTTATCAACCATGATGGATGAGTGCGAACTGACCGGGCGTCTGAAGCGTCTTTGTGAATATCCCTCCGCTCAACGATTTTATGGACGAGGCAAACTTCGCGTCAATGGTAGCAGGACGTGTGCTAGTTACAAGACGTGCGTCAATGGTAACAGAGACGTCTGCTAGTGACAAGACGTACGTCAACGGTAACAAGACGTCTGCTGGTGACAAGACGTACGTCAATGGCAATAATGAGACGTCTGCAAGTGCCAGCCGTACCTCAACGGTAACAAGGCGCCTGCTGGTGGCAAGACGTACGTCAATGGTAACGAGACGTCTTCACGTGACAAGACGCATGACAAGACGTACGTCAATGGTAATGAGACGTCTGTGAATGACAAGACGCATGACAAGACGTACGTTAATGGTAACAAGACGTCTGCACGTGACAAGAGACGTACGTCAATGGTAATGAGACGTCTGTGAATGACAAGACGCATGACAAGACGTACGTTAATGGTAACAAGACGTCTGCACGTGACAAGACGTACGTCAATATTAACTTAAGGTCTGCATGTCACAGAATAATTGATTATAATTTATCATTGTGCTGCAGTTGCTGCGCGGTGCTGCGGACGCAGTGCTGTATGAGCACCTTCTCAGCACGTCCGAGTTCGATGCTGTGCTGCTGTGGCTGAGGCGCGACCTCCTGCCCATGCTGCCCCACCTGCAGCAGGTGGCAGCGCAGCTGGCTGATGTCGTGGCAGGTGGGGGATGTCGTGGCAGGTGGGGGATGTCGTGGCAGGTGGGGAGTGTCGTGGCAGGTGGGAGATGTCGTGGCAGGTGGGGGATGTCGTGGCAGGTGGCGGGCGTCTTGGAGGTTAAGACGTCGTAAATATATCACCGTGACAGATTAGGGGCTGCTGCTCTGGCCTACATGTTTGAAATTTGTATCAGAAATTTTCGAAAATTCTCGAAATTTCCATGGAAAACCCAATTACGTTGATTTTGTGGGAATGAAAAATTGAAATGTAGAGCAAAGGAAATATCAAGGGAATTAATGCAAGGAAGGGAACAGGGGAATAATATCAGGGAATTTTTAACGCGTACTAAGCCTATACCACTTGACGCTGCTGACAGACCCGGCTATGACGTCAGCATCGCGACGTCGGCGACGAGCAGCTGACGATGGTGCAGGTGCTGCTGACGATGCAGGTGCGTGTAGATACCGCTGCTGGTGACCTTGCTGGTGCAGGCAGGATTATTCCAGACGAGTATCGTCACGACATTTCAGACATGCATCAACGTTGTAATTATGTTAGTCCAGACGAGTAACATCATAGTGATCATATCAGTTCAAACTCGCATTGCTACTTAAGTAGACATGTAAGGGAAAGGAAGGAAGAAATTTGCAGTAAATCTGTCAAATAATGTCGATGATGACTGACGTACGACTCTCGTTCTTGTCGGACGACACTTTCTTGGCTGACGTACGACACGTTCATGACTGACGTACGACTCTCGATCTTGTCGGACTCTTGGCTGACGTCGACACGTTCATGGCTGACGTACGACACGTTCATGGCTGACGTACGACACATTCATAGCTGACGTACGACACGTTCATGGCTGACGTACGACACATTCATAGCTGACGTACGACACGTTCATGACTGACGTACGACAAATTCATAGCTGACGTACGATACGTTCACGGCTGACGTACGACACGTTCATGGCTGACGTACGACACTCTCATAGCTGACGTACGATACATGTAAGGCTGACGTACGACACGTTCATGGCTGACGTACGACAGGTTCATGTCTGACGTACGACATGTGCATCGTTTCCCCCTCTGGCGCAATGATCCATATGAACTGAGCAATCCTCCCCAGGATCGGTGACCCAGCGGCTGGGGTCTGCGCTGTGTGGGGAAGACGTGGGGCTTCCTCAACAGGCGCTGCGTCTTCTGGCCAACCTGCCAGCCAAGTCCTCCCCAACTTGTGAGTGTCTTGGGAGGAGGAGCATTAGGATGAGGGGGAAAGATGGTCGTACTAAAGGATCGACTGGGCTTCCTTCTTCGTTTATTGAAGTTTATCTTCTGACTGCTTTTGATTTTTTCTTTCTGTTATTTGTCAGTATTGTTGTGTATTATAATTTCTTGTCGTTCCTCTATTTACTTAATTTCTGAAATATATTTTAGAACAGATTTTTACATTCATCGTTTTAGGAAATATAATTATGTTATCAGAGCTTTTGTTGGTGTCGTTATCAAAACTGTTGTTATCGTTATCAGACCTGTTGTAGGTGTCGTTATCAGAGCTTTTATTGTTATCGTTATCAGAGCTGTTGTTATCGTTATCAGAGCTGTTGTTGCTGTCGTTATCAAAGCTGTTGTTATCGTTATCAGAGCTTTTATTCTCGTTATCAGTGCTGTTGTTGTTGTCGTTAACAGAGCTGTTATTATCGTTATCAGAACAACTGTTGTTATCGTCATCAGAGCTGATGTTGGTGTCGTTATCAGAGCTGCTGCCATCGGAACAGCTGTTATCATTGATGTCCCAGTTACTGATAGCGTATCCCCCTCCCCATCTCCCCAGCTGCCACACCCCCTCCCCCCGCCTGGTGCCCCGCCCTGATGCGGGGGCTGCGTCTGGGTCCCGCTGACGACGTGAGCTCGTCGCTCCTTCGTCGCTTCGTCGCGCCGCTGCTCACTGGACGCGTCGTCTACACGCCACGCAACGCCGTCACTGACGCCATCGTCAGCAACGTCAGTCTTGTAACATGCGTCTTAAAGACGTGTGTCGTGGTCACCTGACGTATGATTGCGTACGTCGTAAAGAGTTAGTCACGAGTCGTATGATTGCGTGTCATAAAGACGTGTGTCGTGGTAACCTGCCGTGTGATTGCGTGCGTCATAAAGACGTGTGTCGTGGTCACCTGCCGTGTGATTGCGTGCGTCATAAAGACGTGTGTCGTGGTCACGAGTCGTATGATTGCGTCTGTCATAAAGACGTGTGTCGTGTTAACCTGCCGTGTGATGGAGAACGTCGTAAAGACGTGTGTCGTGTTGTATGATTGCGTTTGTCGTGTTAACGTGCCGTGCGATGGAGAACGCTGTAAGTACGTGTGTCGTGAACACGTGCCGTGTGATTGCGAGCGTCGTAATGTTGTGTGTTGTGATGACGCGCCTTTGGATTTTGTGCGTTGCTGTTTTGGTTCACCATGGTTCTTGCGACGGTTCTTGCTGAACGACATATTGGTTCGCATTAGTTCATGCTTGGTTCATGATGGCTCATGAGACGGTTCTTGCTGGTTCACGTAATACTTTGCATATTGGTCCATGCTTGGTTCATGATGATTTATGCCTTGGTTCGCGTCACCATGCATGCGATGGTGCCTAATGGTTCACATACTGGTTCGCACTGTACAGATGAACACGACGCTGCAGAGGTGGGCAGTTCAGCGCGAGGTGTTCTCTCTGCTCCACCTGCTGGTGTCGCAGCTCTTCTTCAGCAGCGAAGTGTCCTCAGCGCTGCAGGAGATGACCTGGGTCCTGTCCCAGCCCCTCGTGTCCTCCACCCTCCTGCAACTCCTGCCGCAGGAGGCTCCTCAGATCCTACAGCTCCTAGAAGCTCTCCAACGGCAGCAAGGCAGTGGAGCTGTGATGGTGCAGGTTAGGTGCAATGTTTTTCATGTTCGTTGTTTATATTACCTGTTACTTATTCATCTTCGCTTGTTCTTTATATTTTTGGTATCCCTATCCTAGTTTTTGTGTATTGTGAACTCTGGTCTGCTCTAATATTTTATATTCTAGCCCACTCTATTTATCTTTAATGCTCCAGCTTAGTACCGTATATATATATTTCGAATTCTTGCATTTTACGAGAACGCATTATTAGAAAACTCTAACCTACGCTTCATGTCTTGAAAACTCTAGCACTATTTCTAGTATATCGACATGGCCGACGGCCCCTTACGCTAATATAAAAAAAACATTAACCGGAAAATGCTTATAACTAAATTCCCGCATGTCGAGGGGCTATATGTTACTACTAAAACCACCTTGGGGTAGTTGGGGTTGTTCACTATTACTTTTCTTTACATTATCATTTTCTGTGTGTATGGTTTTATCGTAAAATTTCAGTTCGGTAATTGAATTTGATTCCCCGAGAGTTGTTTTGAAGTTTTGCGACATAAAAATTCCTATGAGGCCGCAATACCCAAACTATTGTGCGCGTGCCAGAAGTGCTACTCAATGGTAATCTTCCAATGGTCCGCGAGCACAATAGTTTTCATGACGGATTTTTATTTGACAATTTTATGCTTCGCAAAAATATTAATTGCCAAACTCGTACAATAAATTTTAATCGATCCTTCACAGCTGCCCACTCAGTCTCAGCGTCCTCTGCTGGGACCATGTGGATGGCGAGATTCAGTGATAACTAGCGTTATGCAGCAACCTTAATTATTGCAGATATACTTTCTGATTTCTTGATCAATTTCCGAAAAAATGGATGTACTGGTGCACTATTCATGATTGTGTAATTAATATAAAATTATCTCGTAAACGATAGACGACAGAATCGAGCTACGTCACGAATACCGATGCTGCCACCGCAACTGCTGAAGCAACCATAACTGAGGAACCAACCACAACGGCGGAACCAACCACAACGGCGGAACCAACCACAACGGCGGAACCACCCACAACGGCGGAACCAACCACAACTGAGAAACCAACCACAACGGTGGAACCAACCACAACGGTGGAACCAATCACAACGGCGGAACCAACCACAAAAACAACCATCATACCTGCTGATTCTAATACCACAGAACCAGATTCCTCCTCAGCTACTTTACCTAACCTGGCGGTTCTTGCGATGGTTCTAGGATTGATGGTCACGGCCCTTATGACTTCACCTGTCAAGGCTGCTCCAACTCTCGTGACTTTTCTGACACTCTCAGCAGTTATTACCAACTGTATCGCCTCCACCAGCAACGTACCGAACACAGATGCAACCTTACTACCAGGCGTTGGTGGTACAACCTCAACAACCACGAGCTCAACCACCACCTCTGCAACCATTCCACCGGACCTTGGTTGTACATCTTCGCCTACCTCCACGTGCTCAACTACTTTACCGTCAACCGGAGGTTCTGTCGCAGAAGATTCAACTTCTCCTGTCACGACGACTTCATCTAGCCCGCCAGCTGCGATTCCACCGTCTGCGGTGGAGCGCCTGAAGGTGGCGTTACTGTGGCTGTTTGAAGAAGCTAGTGAATACTCATGCTTTTTAGACCTAGCAAGCCTAGTGTTGCCTACTGCTTCATATGCTCTGGTTGTCAGCTGGCTGGTCTAGTTAGATTAGTATAGTCCATGCTTCTGAAGCCGTTATCAGCTGCCTGGTCTAGCTGGTTAGTCTAGCTGGCTTTCCGTAGCACCTGCTATTAGTCCTTTGGTGTCAGCTGGCTAGCATTGCTAGCTGAGGATAGAACTTTCTTCTAGTCAATTTTAGAGTGTGCTTGTGTGTCAAGGTATTTAATTTCATCGCTTCTTTGCGTAAAATCTCCCTGTTAATCTAGCTCATCTCTCGTCAACTGCCATGGACGTGGTCAGCTGCTACGTGCATAAATGTGGACATCTCCACCTTGGATACGACTCTGGTTCTCCGAACACACCAGGCTTGGTAGAGAACACAGGCTTTTCGTAGAGAACACAGGCTTTTCGTAAAGAACACAGGCTTTTCGCGGAGAACACAGGCTTTTCGTATCGAACACAGTCAGGACTGTCAACAGTGTTCGCACTTCTCGTTTACTTGTAACCCTGTATATGTTTGTGTTCCAACTCATGTCATAACCTGTACGTCTTTACTTTTGTTCGTAGATTTTATACGCACTTGAATTTTGATCTGATTAACTAATGCAATTAGCCATATTCATATTCAGGTAAACGCCTCTCCTGAATATCAGTTGCGTTGTATGTGCAACGAATATAATCCCCTTTAGTTAGGTGCTATACGCCACCACTAGTTACACTTGAACCCTAGATACACGTTACAACTAGTTTCACGTGAACACCAGATACACGTGAACACTGGATACACGTGAACACTAGAAACACGTGAATACTAGATACACGCGAGCACTAGTTTCACGTCACCGCTAGTTACACGTCACAAATAGGTATAAGTGACCAGTAGTTGCCCGAGCAGGCGCTGCTGGACGAGGCCTCACCGCTGCTGCAGCTGGCTGAGTGCATTGAGCTGGACCGCTTTGTGCCAGCTGAGGACGAACAACAGCTGCTGGAGATGGCACAGCGAGCACACAACGATGAAGCCTTCCTGGCAGGTAACGTGACATTCCTAAAAAGTACGTTGGCATTCCGGGTACGAACTATAGGTCTTTTTAGCGCATTTTTTCATTTGTGGAAAAAATGCCTTATTGTGCTAGTCATGTCCGTCCCTCTGTCCGTCCGTCCGTGACTTCATGCACGTTGTCGTCGACGAGAAAATGCGCTAACTGTCACTCACTGCAGTGAGTACTGAGTTATATTTTTTTACAAATTCTGCAGCCTCTTTTGCTGCTACATCCTTTATAGCAGAAACCGGTATCCTTTCTAACCGGTGATTCCTAATTGGTAATAGGATCTTCCTTGAAGGAACTGGGAACTGCCATGCACATATGTACTGAACATACAGACTTGCCTTCGAGTTTGGCAAGCATTGATGGGCAGTACTGTGATATTTAAGGTAGGTATTGGGAACTCCCTGTAGTACTGTTAATTTTTTGACATAGGCAATGGACCTCCTTGTTGCCCTTCAATGCAGAATTTGAGCATTCACAGCCTATAAGGAATGCACTAAGGAAGTCCTTGCAGGTACTTCAGTGTTCTTGGCAGCGACATCTTCCTTCTATAGTAGGTTCTTCAGCCTTCCATGACTGCTGGGGCATTCCTTGCCAGTACTTTAGCATAACCTGTAGATACTGCGGCTTGTGTACAAGTTGCTCATGTACTGCTTCCTCATCCCTCCCCCCGCAGGAGTGGTGTTTGGGGGCGTAGGAGGATCTGCGGACAACTCGTCACGTCTTCCGCCGCACGTCTCCTACGTCATCCGCGGTGACGCCGCCAGGCTGCCGTCGTCCCGCCAGGCTGGCCCAACGTGCGTCAGATATTTCACTGCCGAATACGATATTATTATTAAATACTAAATAAATGCGGGATTGTTATGATAGTTGCTGTGAGGAAATACGGATTTTTAAAAGTTCACACAGTTTCTATGTATTGTAATTGTCATACCTGAAATTTTGATGTGTTGACCCGTGAAAAATATTCTTTGTCAAGCAAATTTTAATAATACTGTTATAAGATTTTCTTATTAGACCGCCTCTGAGATGATAGTTTTGATCTCCAGAGCAAGTTTTGTTTATGGACAAGTTACATTCCTGGGGCCATACTTTCAAAATTCGCTAAGTTAACGGAAGTACTTACGCTCTATTTTCTTGTTTGCGATTGGCGCTGATTTTGCTTGAAAGGCCGTCAATGATTGGCTGATGAGCTTACGATCTCTTAACTTTTCTTGAAAGTATGGGCCCTGAGCAAGAATCATATATAGTTGCAAAGGCTCATCAATAATTTGCACCGGTGATTGCGGTTGTTCAGGTTCTGGAGGCCTGGACCCTACGCCGACTACGGGGACCAGCTGTTGTACCACCAGGGCTTTGTTATCCTACAGAACGCGCTGGACGAGGCGATCATGAAGACCCTCTACCAGCAGACCTCTTCAACCACCACCCGGTCTGCAAGCGCTGCAGTGGGTCTGCATTTCGATCAATCTGCCGTGGAAGACGTAGAGACAATTTTCGACGACACGATTTCCAGGATGAACAGCCATATTGTGAAGGATCCTTTTGAAGACGACAGGCAGTTGGAGGCCTGGATGGACGTCCTCACCCAGTTGAGGGGAGTCCGTGAAGCTTTTCTCACTGGGGAGCAGATTCCGACTGCACCCCGTTCTTCCCCGCTAACTAAAGAGGCGGTAACATCTAGGAAGGTGAGAGCTGCTGGGAGTGGCAGTGACTTATATAAAGCCTCTCACACATATAGAGGCTCCAGAGACCTCCACTCATACGGAGACGCCAGAGACCTCCTCTCATACGGAGACTCCAGAGACTCCCACTCAAATGGGGAAGGCAGAGACATGAGGGGAGTCCGTGAAGCTTGGCTCACTGGGGAGCAGACTCCGACTGCACCCCGTTCTTCCCCGCTAGCTAAAGAGGCGGTAACATCTAGGAAGGGGAGGGCTACAGAGAGTGGCAGTGACTCGTATAACGCCTCTGACAAATATGGAGACGGCAGAGACCCACACTCATATGGAGATGTCAGAGACCCCAATTCATATGGAGACGTCAGAGACCCCCGCTCATATGGGGATGGCAGAGACCCCCACTCATATGGAGACTCCAGAGACTCCCACTCAAATGGGGAAGGCAGAGACCTCCGCTCATTTGGAGACTCCAGAGACACCTTCTCATATGGAGACGCAAGAGACTCTCACTCATATGGAGACGGCAGAGACGCTCACTCATTAGGGAACTCGTCATTTCGTCGTCGTCGCGACGTCTCGGGAGGTCAAGAGGCCGCGTTCAACGTGTCCATCGTCAACCGCAGCGCAGAGGTGGACAGCCTCCTGAACATGGTCGTGTCCACCGCGCAGATGCCGTATCCCTGCTACAGCCGCGACGTGTAAGGCTGTGCAGGCTCAGCTTCTGGGGCTTTCAGTATTTAGTAAATGGTTTAGTATTTATTACATGGTATAGTATTTAGTAAATAGTTTAGTATTTATTACATGGTATAGTATTTAGTAAATAGTTTAGTATTTATTACATGGTATAGTATTTAGTACATGGTTCAGTTTGTCAGTCCCCTTGGTCCTCAGAGCCATGCGATGATAAGCCAAACTTGTGTTCCAGTGTTTAAGCTGCCGCAGGGAGTTGACGTTGCTCATGCTTCTGATTGGTTTTTTACTTTTTCAATTTATTCTCTTGTACTTCAAGATCTTCCTCGGCACCTAGGCTAACTAGTACCTAGAGTTCCTTTAGGGACACCAACCCATGGCCATGCTGAAAGCCCCACCTTACCGTACGTCTTATTTTTTTTTAGAATTCTCATGTCTCTATTACTATTCGTAATGCCATCTATCATCTAAATAGTTTGCTATTATTGTATTTCAGCTTAAGGGTTTAGCCTTGAATCGTGTAACTCCTGACTTACGAACGTTTCACTTAGCAATTACTGAGTGACTGAGAAGTTACTAAAGTGTTAACAGCTCTTGCATCTAACCAATATAGATGCTTTCTCAGGAGTTTCATACAAAAATTACAGAAGGCCTGAAGAGAGTTTTATCCCATAATTTTAGATAGCCTGCCAAGAAATTTATTCAGAAATTAGAAAGCTGTTGAGTGTTGGTCTGCAGGTTTTTGTTTGGTCTGCAGATTCCTACAGCTGTCTCTTATACACATCTAGATGTGTATAAGAGACAGGTGCTGCACAGTGCACAGCCTAAAACAGACTCTTAAGCATGTTTTCAGAAAGCTACGTCGAAAGCATCTTGGGATTAATACGAGTGTGGACGGTTACGGGGCGATAGGATGCAGGTTATTAAAGAAAGTTGTTCAATTAGAATAAGATATACTAAAATAGTCATACTGCACACAACACTGCCAACCACTATCTGCCTGACACCACCTGACTTACATCACCTGTCAAATACCACCTGACAAACTTCTAGTGCCAAACGCCACCTGCCAAACTCCACCTGCCAAACTCCACCTGCCAAACTCCACTTGCCAAACTCCACCTGCCAAATGCCTCTTGCCAAACGCCACCTGCCAAACGCTACCTGCCAAACGCCACCTGCCAAACGCCACCTGCTAAACGCCACCTGCCAAGCGCCACCTGCCATACGCCACCTGAATGTCAAACAAAACACCCATTCCTCGCACACGTATGCGTGTCAATCGTTCTCCAGATGGACGTGGCTGTGGGTGTGCGGTGGTGGGTGACGGCGGCGTCGTGGTGGGTGCATGCGGTACTGCTGCTCTGTGGGCTCGTGCTGGCGATGACGGGTGTGCTGGTGCTCACCCCACTCCTCCCTCTGACCCACCCCGTCCTGGTCTTCCTCCTGCTCCTCTTCTACGGCCTCAACATCGTGGCTCTGTGGTGGGTGCAGGGGCATCGTGGGTTACTGGTGGGTTCTGCGGGCATCATGGGCTGCTGGTGGATTCTTAGGGCGTCCTGATCCACTGGAGGGTGCAGGGGCATCGTGGGTTACTGGTGGGTGCAGGGGCATCATGGGCTACTGGTGGGTGCAGGATAGGACTCTGCAGACTATGTAGGACTCTGCAGACTGTGTAGGACTCTGCAGACTATGTGGGACTTTGCAGACTGTGTAGGATTCTGCAGACTATGTAGGACTCTGCAGACTGTGTAGGACTCTGCAGACTGAAGGACTCTGCAGACCTTGGAGAGTTTGTAGCAGAGAGTGAGTAGTTATATTAATGTGCTCTGCAGACTATGTAGGACTCGGCAGACTGTGAAGGACTCTGGAGACTGTGAAGGACTCTGCAGACTGTGAAAGACTCTGCAGACATTGGAGAGTTTGTAGCAGAGAGTGAGTAGTTAGATTAATGTGGTCTGCAGACTGTGTAGGACTCTGCAGACCACGTAGGACTCTGCAGACTATGTAGGACTCTGCAGACTATGTAGGACTCTGTAGACTATGTAGGACTCTGCAGGCATTGTGGGTTACTGGTGGGTGCAGGGGCATTGTGGGTTACTGGTGGGTGCAGGGGCATCGTGGGCTACTGGTGGGTGTAGGAGCATCGTGGGCTACTGGTGGGTGTAGGAGCATCGTGGGTTACTGGTGGGTGCAGGGGCATCGTGGCTCCTGGTGAATTATAGGGGCGTCCTGCTAAGTTCTGATAGAACCGTCGTGGCATTCTGGCCGATGCAAGAGATAGAATAGAATAGAAGTGTCGGCACTGAAGAAACAGGGTCACGGCCTGATGCCGATTCGTGTACTTTAGTGGCTTCTTGGTTGGTGCTGGGTAATTTAACAGGCAGGCGAGTTCTCCATTTATTCCCATAATAATATTCACATAATAAACACTACAACAGTTACTTTCTGGGGGAGCTGATGGAGTCTTCTCTGCTGGCGCTGCTGGTGGGAGTGACCATGACTGTGCTGGGCAACGTCCCTTTCGTCATGGTATCGCTCTCCTCCACCCACCTCCCTCTGCACCTCTACATCATCCTGGTGGGTGTACCTCCCTCTGCACCTCTACATCATCCTGGTGGGTGTACCTCCCTCTGCACCTCTACATCTGTCTCTTATACACATCTAGATGTGTATAAGAGACAGGTCTACTTGCGCCGTCCGGGTTTGGCTTCGGTTTCCGCGTTTTATGCCAGTACGAAATGGCGGCGACGTCGGCCACGTTCCTGAATCTCTTCGTGCCTCCCACTGTCGGTACGTCTGTCATGATAATAATTGTTATTACGTCTATTGTACCTCATATGTCTGTACGTTTGTTGCGCCCCAGATTTACGTTGTTAAAAACAATGTGTAACGGCTGTTGTCTTCCCACTGTAGGGAAAGAGCCGTTGAACACATATGATGGAATAGTGAGTGACCTAGTGGTGATGGACAGAGTGGCCCAGTGGTTAAAGGATATTGTGGTTGCCCTGTGGTAACAGTTCAGAGTACCAAGATTGGAGCAGAGAGGCGCGGGTTCGATCCCAGCTCTGTGCGCCAGTTTCTGGTCAGAATCGGCAAGAAGGCCGGGCGGTTAAGCANACTCACCCGACCCTCCCGACTTATCTAACTCACCCGACCCTCCCGACTTATCTAACTCACCCGACCCTCCCGACTTATCTAACTCACCCGACCCTCCCGACTTATCTAACTCACCCGACCCTCCCGACTTATCTAACTCACCCGACCCTCCCGACTTATCTAACTCACCCGACCCTCCCGACTTATCTAACTCACCCGACCCTCCCGACTTATCTAACTCACCCGACCCTCCCGACTTATCTAACTCACCCGACCCTCCCGACTTATCTAACTCACCCGACCCTCCCGACTTATCTAACTCACCCGACCCTCCCGACTTATCTAACTCACCCGACCCTCCCGACTTATCTAACTCACCCGACCCTCCCGACTTATCTAACTCACCCGACCCTCCCGACTTATCTAACTCACCCGACCCTCCCGACTTATCTAACTCACCCGACCCTCCCGACTTATCTAACTCACCCGACCCTCCCGACTTATCTAACTCACCCGACCCTCCCGACTTATCTAACTCACCCGACCCTCCCGACTTATCTAACTCACCCGACCCTCCCGACTTATCTAACTCACCCGACCCTCCCGACTTATCTAACTCACCCGACCCTCCCGACTTATCTAACTCACCCGACCCTCCCGACTTATCTAACTCACCCAACCCTCCCGACTTATCTAACTCACCCGACCCTTCCGACTACTCACTTAACTCACCCGACCCTCGCGACCACCTAACCCTCCCTCCCGATCATCCCGAATTACTAAACCATTTTTTCCTGCTCCACCTGAGGATGTTGGGGTTAAGTGTGGTTTTCCTTATTAAGTCCTATAAGTAGACCAGAAACAATCTTAGTTATCGTCATTACCATTAAATTGGATATTAAATAAAATGTTTTTGTAGATCCAGAATTGGAGAATATTTATCAACTAAAAATTCTCTTGTTTGTCAATATTGGTACAATTTAATCAGATAAAGTCTTGTCAATTGTGGTCTTGTGTAAAGTCTTGTGATCAATAAATGGAAAATAAAAATCTCTTCGTTTGTCAATATTTGACAATTTAATCAGATAAAGTCTTGTATTTTAGATCAATAAATGGAATTAAAATATCAAGTAAATATCTCCAGTTTGTCACTACTGCCGCAGGGGTGCGTGCGGTTGTCGCAAGTGAGGTACGCGGTGCAGGGGCGCGCAGGCCGGGGCGGCAGGACGCTGCTGGAGGGCATCACGCTCGACCTCAAGCAGGGGCACGTCACGGCCCTCCTGGGGCACAACGGCGCCGGCAAGACTACCCTCATGTAAGTATCAAAATCACTTGGCTGTTTAATTCGCAAATTTACCAGGAATTTAAAAGTAAAGAAAATAGCCAAAAAGTTCACCATTTCTTATAAGAGAAAATGTTTCGGAGTCCAGCTCCATCGTCAGTTCAAAACCTAGAACACAGGTACAAACAATTAGTAGCCTAAAATTTACATTCAAACAATTCACCTAAACTTGAGGACTTTAGCACTAAAATCGCAGAAAACAGAACTAAAAATTAGATAACATGTAGAGAAAGTACTATCTATTTACAATTTGTTAAGGATAGGAACTGAATGCAGCATTTAAACTGGGTTTCTGTTTGAAAATATATAATGATTCAAAAATTCGTGGGTCAGAAACACCGCGCAGGCCCTCATGTAGGTGTACCCTCGTATAGGTTACTACCCTCGTGTAGGTGACTACCGTCGTGTAGGTGACCACCGTCGTGTAGGTGACCACCGTCGTGTAGGTGACTACCGTCGTGTAGGTGTACCCTCGTGTAGGTGTACCCTCATGTAGGTGTACTCTCCTGTAGGTGACTACCCTCGCGTAGGTGACTACCCTCGCGTAGGTGACTACCCTCGTGTAGGTGACTACCCTCGTGTAGGTGTACCCTCGTGTAGGTGTACCCTCATGTAGGTGTACCCTCGTGTAGGTGTACCCTCATGTAGGTGTACCCTCGTGTAGGTGACTACCCTCGATGGGTCTCAGCCAGCAGCACGCCAGCCGCATGGCTGACCGGCTTGCTCTGGAGGACCTAAACCTGGCGGTCACTAAGGGCGAGGTAAGGCTGGTGTAGAGGTAGGGCTGTTTTAGAGGTTAAGCTGGTGCAGCGATTAGGCTGGTTCAGAAGTAGGGGCTATAGTTTAATGGAAAGGCTGCTTTAGATGCGAGGTTGGTGCAGAGGTTAGGCTTTCTTTGAGGTTAGGTTTTTTTAGAGGTTAGGCTTTCTCAGAGGTTAGGCTTTTGTAGAGGTCAGGTTAATGCAGAGATTAGGTTTTTTCAGAGGTTAGGCTTTTTGCAGAGATTTGGCTTTTGCAGAGGTAAGGCTGGTGCTCTATCCAGACCAGGATATATGTTACTTAACCCCTATTGTCTCATGTGAGTGCTGGCATAAATTTCGTTTAAAATAACCTCTGTGGCAATTTAGTGACAAAACTCACTACTTTTTCCGAGCAGGAACTCCTCACCTGCGGTCTTTTCAATGTCTTGCAGTATTGCACCAATACCATGTTAGCTGAACCGGTTTTTCATTATCAAGTTATATTGATGTAAAGTAATCAAGTTGTTGATGATGATGTAATCAAGTTGTTTATTGTAAAGGTCGTAAATATGGATTTTACAAAGTATTCATTTTAACTTAACAGCCGGTATTTGTGTTAGGATGGCATGGACACCTAATTAGGGCGGCACTATTCAAGCGCTCTGATTGGCTGTCTCACTCGCCACTCTGCCTGCTGCCCTAAATATTTTAGAAAAAGCAAAGATTTTAGTTTTTCCCTTGATAACGTCACAGGGAGAGTTTCTTCCTCTCCCTGCCGTCCTGTGTGGACTGTAGTTGCGTGGACTGTGTGTGCAGGTAGTGGGTGTGGTGGGTGCCAACGGCGCCGGCAAGTCCACTCTTTTCAAGCTGCTCGTCGGGGACGGCAGTCCTCCATCGTCAGGTGAGCGTTTGGGTTCCTCAGCATCTACTTCGAGAAATAATATTTAATTTGTTTATATATATATTGTCCCTTTAAGAAAAATAAGTTTTCTTTTATAGATTGAATTCAGAGAAATTGAGAGACTTTGTCAAGTTAGCGATGCACGTCTTATTCTTGTGTGGGTCAACTTGACGCAAGTTTGTCATGCAAAAATGATGTATCAAGGCAGAAAGTGTGTCACTAATGCAGAAAGTGTGTCAATATTAGGATAAACATTTATCGTTTATTTCCAGGAAGCATCGAAGTATTCGGGAACAAGAAATTGGAGCCACATTTCTTTTTTTTTTTCAATTTATTTTTTAACTCTTCACCGCTTGATTACGCCCCCATCCTTTCCCTCATATTTCTCCTGAATTCCTCTTCCTCCCACAGTTGACGGTCAGCGCTGGCAGAGAGAGGCCGTAGACGCCTCTCCTCCTCCCCTCTCACCCTCGTGCTGGGGAAGGCTGCTGGGGATGATCTACAAACACAGTTTACACAGCCTGCGACCGGAGAGGCCTCAGGAGTACAGTCGGGCCCTGGCCCACGCTGAGTACAGTGAGTACAGCCGGGCCCTGGCCCACGCTGAGTACAGTGAGTACAGTCGGGCCGTGGCCCACGCTGAGTACAGTGAGTACAGTCGGGCCGTGGCTCACGCTGAGTACAGTGAGTATAGATGTTCCCTGACCCTCGCTTAGACTAGTATTTATCACAATCAGCCTCTATATCATCCATTATCAACTTGATTTTGATAAATTTGTAGATTGGAGCCACATTTCTTTTTTTTTTTCAATTTATTTTTTAACTCTTCACCGCTTGATTACGCCCCCATCCTTTTCCCACTTATTTCTCCTGAATTCCTCTTCCTCCCACAGTTGACGGTCAGCGCTGGCAGAGAGAGGCCGTAGACGCCTCTCCTCCTCCCCTCTCACCCTCGTGCTGGGGAAGGCTGCNCCCTCATTCCCCCACCAGGGTGAGGGCCCAAGTAACACCCTCATTCCCCCACCAGGGTGAGGGCCCAAGTAACACCCTCATTCCCCCACCAGGGTGAGGGCCCAAGTAACACCCTCATTCCCCCACCAGGGTGAGGGCCCAAGTAACACCCTCATTCCCCCACCAGGGTGAGGGCCCAAGTAACACCCTCATTCCCCCACCAGGGTGAGGGCCCAAGTAACACCCTCATTCCCCCACCAGGGTGAGGGCCCAAGTAACACCCTCATTCCCCCACCAGGGTGAGGGCCCAAGTAACACCCTCATTCCCCCACCAGGGTGAGGGCCCAAGTAACACCCTCATTCCCCCACCAGGGTGAGGGCCCAAGTAACACCCTCATTCCCCCACCAGGGTGAGGGCCCAAGTAACACCCTCATTCCCCCACCAGGGTGAGGGCCCAAGTAACACCCTCATTCCCCCACCAGGGTGAGGGCCCAAGTAACACCCTCATTCCCCCACCAGGGTGAGGGCCCAAGTAACACCCTCATTCCCCCACCAGGGTGAGGGCCCAAGTAACACCCTCATTCCCCCACCAGGGTGAGGGCCCAAGTAACACCCTCATTCCCCCACCAGGGTGAGGGCCCAAGTAACTCCCTCATTCCCCCACCAGGGTGAGGGCCCAAGTAACTCCCTCATTCCCCCACCAGGGTGAGGGCCCAAGTAACACCCTCATTCCCCCACCAGGGTGAGGGCCCAAGTAACACCCTCATTCCCCCACCAGGGTGAGGGCCCAAGTAACTCCTTTATTCCCCCACCAGGGTGAGGGCACCAGCTGTCTCTGTGTGAGGATCAACGAGTCCCTCCCCCGCTGTGCCTTCGAGGTCCCCTCTCCCCTCCCCCTCGCTCCCTGGATAATGGCCACCCGCAGGGAGACTTCCAACTTCAAGCAAGTTCTTTTGCATTTATCGTTATTTTTGCGTTCATATTCCGTATAATTTCCATTTATTCGCATTAAAAACATTACTTTATTTTGCTTGATTCAGTCCTATAATTACACCTTAGTCCACATCACTTACATTACTGTCACTTTGAATAATGTGAATTCCATGGTTCAACGTAAAGGGAGATGATGGGTAGTTCAGTTCAGTTTCTATTAATAATTATCTTCCGAATTAAATTTAGTTGGGGAAAATTTTGTAATCATGAGCTTTTCTGCAAAAAATATTAACACTAGGCGCTGTTAGTGCAAAAGTTCCATCATCTTTCTGACATGGTTTTATGTCTTGGGTTGTCCTGTACAGACGCTATGGGTTCACCTTCGGAACAACAACTGGCTTCTCTGATACGACAGCTGGCGTTGCGCCTGAAACCGCAACAGATGGCTCTTCAACGGATGCCAATTTTGCAGTCAGTGAGCTGAACGCAACCATCACAACCATCACTGATGGTGGTGCTGGTAATATGCCTGTCGTAGTAACGGTGTGGTACGATAACTCGGGCTACCACACCTTGCCGGCAGCTCTCAATGTGCTTAACAACGCCAGATTGCAGCGCCTACTCGGCAGCGCACAGGCCTCTATCACCGCTGCCAGCCAACCGATAGCCTTCAAGTCTAGCCCTGCTGCAAAAATAGCATTGTGAGTCCTATATGCAAAACAAGAGCTTTCTGATTTTTATAATTGTGATGAAGGTTTGTGGTGTCAGAAAGCACCTCAACGCCTTACCTCTGTGAAGTGGTTGACTGATTGCTGCAGTAGCCTTGTGAGTGTTCTAATGTGTACGACAATATGAGCTCTGTGGCTGCCAAAAAGCATTGTGAGTGTTCCAATGTGTACGACAACATGAGCTCTGGGGCTGCCAAAAGGCATTGTGAGTTTTCCAATGTGTACGACAACATGAGCTCTGTGGCTGTCAAAAGGCATTGAGAGTGTTCCAATGTGTACGACAACATGAGCTCTGGGTCTGCCAAAAGGCATTGTGAGTGTTCCAATGTGTACGACAACATGAGCTCTGGGGCTGCCAAAAAGCATTGTGAGTGTTCCAATGTGTACGACAACATGAGCTCTGGGGCTGCCAAAAAGCATTGAGAGTGTTCCAATGTGTACGACAACATGAGCTCTGGGGCTGCTAAAAAGCATAGTGAGTGTTCCAATGTGTACGACAACATGAGCTCTTGGAGCTACCAAATTAGAATTTTTATTATAAAATTGTTCGTTATTTTTTTAACATTGTTTTATTTTTGTGATAATCATGAAGTTGTGGCGTGTGCAGTGGGGAGTATGTGGGTGCAGTGGTCGTGTCTCTCCTGCTGCTCGTGGCGCTGAGTGCGCTGTGCAGTTACTGCTCCGGCCGTGCAGTGCACGACAGCTCCTCGTCTGCACTGCGTCTGTACTGCACACTCGGCCTGCCACTGCGCCTCTACTGGATTTCTGCCCTTCTCTGGGACGGCATGGTACACTCATTCAAATTAATGGATTTTATTGTTCAAATTGTGACACACTTTCTTACTCACAGCACGAGCATAGAGTGGACGTAGCACTGAGACACTCTCTTGTTGGACCAAACTGGGTCAGGATTACCCATCACTAGGGCAAAAAGTTCACAAAGTCTTACTTATTTATTTGATTGCAGGTACTTTGTTGTCACCTACACTTGTGTCCACCAAATGCACTACATTGCTAATGTCTGCTGATTACATTTACCTCACTAATCTGCCTCTTGGTATTTTCCCTCATCTACCCTCTCTTCCCTCACATGCCATACCTACACCTCGGCGACCGTATTTTCAAATCTCGCTAAGTACACATACACGTAGCACATACACGCTAAGTACACGTAGCGGCCGTTGTATAATCTCTGATTTCTGTGTTTAGCTTGAAAAGCAATCAGTAATTAGCTGACGGAGTTAAGAACTCGAAACTGTTTTTGATATTACGGCCCCTGGCCAATGGGACCTGCCACATCTATGTTTGGGGCCATTTCTTGCCACATTTATTTCCTTTTCGTTGCCAATTGTATGCATGTTGCCTTAATTAAGCGAGGAAAACTGCTTTTTGTAGCAACTAAAGTCGTATATAGTTGAAATATCTTCTCTAGAAGATATTAAAATATCTTCTTAGAAGATATTTTTCTAGATAAAATATCTTCTCTGATAAAATCATATATAATCCCTGAGAAAATGATATATTTGCTGCTGAAACGACGCATTAATTAACCTATTCGCATGTGAATTTAAGTAGATAAGTGCCAAGGATCCCAGCGTACGGTGAATTTTGAAGAAAAATGTTAACCCCTTTTCGCTATACCATCGGTATGCTTTTGAAATTACTTTACTTATTATTCAATATGATCATATTTACCGACATTGTGATGTAGTAGCAATGAGTAATCCTAGTAAAAATGATTTAGCAATAATAGCAACAATGGTGAATGTTGCGATACTCGACATAAATGCTGAATGTTGAGATGCTTGGTAGCAATTTGCTTCCCTATCTTCCAACATTCGACCTCCAGAGAATGATAACGTTTATATTATAATGAACATTGCGTTTACGAAGTTTGTGCCGCTTAGTGCCCTCTAAGCTTGTTTGCTCGGCCGCATCCAATTTTTGGCATCACAAACGCCTTGTGATGGTAGTGCCTGAACGTCATTGTTCACCAACACACTTCAGGGAATTCGACGTAACATAGCAGTTATAATCTGCTTCAGGTCTTCAAACTAGCGAAATTTTGTGCTAGTGCAAATACTCTTAAAAAGAATGATACACAATGCAGATGCTCGATGCAACATAGTAGTTATAATCTGCTTCAGGTCGTCAAACTATCGAAATTTGCTGCATATTGGAAAATGTGCTAATGGGAATGATACAAAATGCAGATGCTGGTGGTGACGGTGCTGCTGCTGGTTGTGGTGCTCCTGATATTCGGGCAACCACACTTCGTGGGTGGTGACAACCTGCCTGCCTTCCTGCTCATCTGCCTGCTCTACGGGTGAGTCGTGGCCACGGCTCTTATCTGGGTGAGTGAGCGATACAGCTGCTGCTCTCATTCGCGTGGATCGTCTCAGTCTTCTCAATGCATTCAGTCCCCTATCTCCCCCAGGTGCTCCATGCTCCCCTAACTCCCCCTCTCCTCCAGGTGCTCCATGCTCCCCCTGTTTTACCTGCTGGGGCGTTTCTTCTGCTGCCGCACGTCAGCCACCGTCAGCTTCTTCTTCACGGCCGTGGGCGTGGGCTTCCTCGCCTCGGTCGTCGTCATGGCCTGCCAGGCCTACTCCTGGGTCCAGGTAGGCCTATGCCTGTTTGTTATTTTTAATTTTTTAATATCATTTACTAGTCTTTTGCTTAAATAATTATTATTATTATTAAATAAGCGAAATTTTGTCCAAATAGAGAAGCATATTTTCCTAACCTAATTTGGTGTGTCGAAAAGACGTATCAGTGCCACGTTGTTTTTCTGTTCGTGAGAGTGTCACGATTTGGACAATATTACCCACGAATATTTCCGTGTGTGGTGTTAAACCCTAGTTTCTTCGTAGTGGTGATTCGCCGCGATTGTGTGGTGGTGGGGTTGCGTTGATCTTAAGCTTCACCTCAAACATTATTTATGAATTTCGGTCTCTGCATAGGTCGAGTAGAGCAGTTATGAACGCCATTCAATATTATAATTACTTCTTTATTTGAGTCCGTATTTTTCTGTGCTTCCCTGAATTTTCTTAGCTCATCTTCAATTTTCTAATTTGTTTAAAATTATTTTTCTCTTAATTAGGAGTCATACTTATGAACTAAGAAAATGGTTCTGGCGAGAAATAAGTTTCGTAAGGATATGACATAGGTAGTCGACACGGGGGATTCAATTTATGTATACTATCCCTATAGTGTAATGTCTGAATTTTTGGTCACGAATCACTTGCCTTCTATTTATTTTTTCAAGAGATAAAAACTTCACGATCATAAACGGTTCTTATGAATTTTTTTTCATATTAACCGCGGCAGCGTGTTAATATGAAAACACTTTGCCACAGACACTTTGCCACAGAGCGGCAAAGTGTCTCTAGGTTGCCATGAAGCATCCAATATTTTGTTTTTTACCATTAAATTTTTCTGCTTGGGTTTGATCTTGCACCTTCTTAATGTTTCCCTATGGGCTTCCTCGCCTCGGTCGTGGTCATGGCCTGCCAGGCCTACTCCTGGGTCCAGGTAGGCCTATCCCTGGGTGCACTCTCAGAAATAAGCGAAAATTCTTACAGTACAAGACATGGCTGGGTAAATATGGCTGTAACCCGGAAAGAGGTGTAACCCACCACACGGTCGCATGCCCATGGCTGTAACCCGGAAATAATCCGGGTTACAGCAATATGAAAGGTCAAGCCATGACCTGAATTTGAAAAAAGCTCACTAATAAACGAAAAGTTCTCCTTTTTGTTCGAGATAAGTTCTTTAATGAACTGTGATGATGCTGCCATTTTCTCTGCTGTGTTTCCCTCTGGATATTTTCTCTGCTGTGTTTCCCTCTGGATATTTTCTCTGCTGTGTTTCCCTCTGGATATTTTCTCTGCCGTGTTTCCCTCTGGATATTTCCTCTGCCGTATTTCCCTCTGGATATTTTCTCTGTCGTGTTTGCCTCTGGATATTTTCTCTGCCGTGTTTCCCTCTGGATATTTTCTCTGTCGTATTTCCCTCTGGATATTTTCTCTGCCGTGTTTCCCTCTGGATATTTTCTCTGCCGTGTTTCCCTCTGGACATTTTCTGATTAAAAAACAATAGCAGTCTGGCGTTAAATCATCGACAATGATGTTGACTATGCCTTATTATCGATGACGCTTATTGCACAAAAATGACACGATGCATATTGCACGGTGATAATGTCGTTAAAATCGAGCTGTAAGTAAGAGCGGTATGCGGTTATTATTGCATCAACTTGACTGCAACGTTCGTGGCTATTTAATATATATCTTTCTGAAGGGTACCATTACCTTAATGAAATTAGTTAATATATGATCAACATCATTGTTTTATTTCAATTCAAGAATACAGTAAACTGCGCCTTGTCACCGTTCGTCTATAGTATGCTAATATTTATTATATATTTTCGCCTAGGTTCGCGTTTATTTGTTTACATCCACATATGCACAAGTTCTAGTGGGAATCTATCTCTATCCATAAGTTCTCATGGGATTCAGTCTAAATCCACAAGTTCTAATAGAAATCTGTCTAAATCTATAAGTTCTGATGGGTACCTATCTGTCTAAATCTACAAGTTCTTATGAGTACATATCTGTCTAAATCTACAAGTTCTTATGGGTATCTGTCTAAAATCTACAAATTTTAATGAGTATAAGTCTAAATTCACAAGTTCTAGAGGTGAAAATGTCTATATCCATAAGTTCTATTGGGTGTCTTTCTAAATCTTCTAACTGCGATTGCACGTATATTCTAAATTCATAATCAATCTTATATTGTTTCTATGTTGCCAGCATCCATCTTACCAGGCTCTGGGCATCCTGTTCGTGAGTACCGCACCAGCAGCGTCTCCTACAGCTGCGTCATGCTCTGCACATGCTATACTTACCTAATGTTTTTTTTCACCTTTAACAGTAATCATTTGTTAATCAATTTACTAATAGATAAATGTTACCTGACAGCTAATTATTTGCAGTTAAATACATGCTTTACTTTTTCGTATCTCGTGATGTGAATTTTGCGCATCCCAAAACAATGTTTTGAATTTCCACGAAAATTGGAAGAATAAAACTTAATGGACATTTTAAAATATTTGAAATTTAGATATCAAATATTGATTGCTTTCGCTGAAGATAGCACTTAAGAGCTGTACGGTGGCGTTGAATGCATCTAGAAAAGTAGAATGTGTTCGAATTTTACTTTAATTTTTATTATTTACCCTATTTTTGATGGTTTCTAATGGCCTACTTATAGAGAGTTTTGATAAATTGAGATCCATTAATTATTCTTCGCTAATTTTCATCATCGTCTTCACTACCTGAAGAAATTAAAAGCAAAGAAAACAGCCAAAAATTCACTTTTCTCAAGAATGAAAACGTTTCGGAGTCTATAGCTCCATCCTCAGTTGAAAAGTTCAATACTTATAAGACAAGCAGAATCAATTAGAAAACTAAAATTCACATTGAAGATAAAATCCTGAATTGAAAAAAAAAGAAAAAACAAAATTCATTGTCAATATAGGATTTTATCTTCTATGTGAATTTTAGTTCTTTAATTGATTCTGCTTGTTTTATTGAATTTTTATTTATTATTACCGTATTTTATTTATTTTATTATTATTTTATTTAAATTGATAAGATATTGAACTTTTCAACTGACGATTGAGCTAGACTCCGAAACGTTTTCATTCTTGAAAAATTCTGTATTTTTTGGCTGTTTGTTTTGCTTTTTAATTCTCGATAAACTTGCGGTTTAAGCAATCACGTGATTTTAATACTTCACTACCACGCTTTACCCGCGTTCACGCATGTATTACACTTGAACAGGGTGTATTTGTCGCAGTAACGTAATTGGTTTTAAAGCGTTCAATATTTTACTTCTAGATAAAAACACTTTTTTATCCTTTCCTTGGATTTATAATTTTAGGCTTTTGCTGCATAACGAAATGCATGATGAGTTTTGAATGTTATACTGCACTCGCAATTCCGCTAAACTGAGTTAGCGTCAAATGGTGAACCTCTTTGCCAGCCTTCCTTCTGTCAGTCCCCTACCTGCACCAGTCCCCTTGCCCTATACCAGTCTCATTCTTCTCCAACAGTCTCCTTCCTCCCCACCAGTCCCCTCTCTCCCCAACAGTCCCCTCACCTGCCAATCACAGTCCAATCACTCCCCACCAGTCCCCTTCCTCCCCAGCAGTCTCCTCAGCAGCCTATCACCGTCTCATTCCTCCCCACCAGTCTCATTCCTCCCCACCAGTCCCATTCCTCCCCACCAGTCCCCTCCCCAACAGTCCCATTCCTCCCCACCAGTCTCATTCCTCCCCACCAGTCTCATTCCTCCCCACCAGTCCCATTCCTCCCCAACAGTCCCCTCCCCAACAGTCCCATTCCTCCACACCAGTCTCATTCCTCCCCACCAGTCCCATTCCTCCCCACCAGTCCCATTCCTCCCCACCAGTCCCATTCCTCCCCACCAGTCCCATTCCTCCCCACCAGTCCCTTCCCTCCCCACCAGTCCCCTGAGCTAATCCCCTCGCCAGGCGCTGCGGTCGCTGGGGGAGCTGCTGCAGCGGACCTGCCTCGCCCTGCCGCCCTACGCCTTCTGCGCCGCCCTCACCGACCTCGCCCTCGCCCACACCAGGGTACGTGGCGCCCACACCAGGGTACGTGGCGCCCACACCAGGGTACGTGGCGCCCACACCAGGGTACGTGGCGCCCACACCAGGGTACGTGGCGCCCACACCAGGGTACGTGGCGCCCACACCAGGGTACGTGGCGCCCACACCAGGGTACGTGGCGCCCACACCAGGGTACGTGGCGCCCACACCAGGGTACGTGGCGCCCACACCAGGGTACGTGGCGCCCACACCAGGGTACGTGGCGCCCACACCAGGGTACGTGGCGCCCACACCAGGGTACGTGGCGCCCACACCAGGGTACGTGGCGCCCACACCAGGGTACGTGGCGCCCACACCAGGGTACGTGGCGCCCACACCAGGGTACGTGGCGCCCACACCAGGGTACGTGGCGCCCACACCAGGGTACGTGGCGCCNCCCAAGTACACGTAGCGGCCCAAGTACACGTAGCGGCCCAAGTACACGTAGCGGCCCAAGTACACGTAGCGGCCCAAGTACACGTAGCGGCCCAAGTACACACAACAGCCTAAGTACATATGCCGGCCTAAGCACACATGGCGGCCTAAGTACACGTACGTAGCGGCAAAATTACACGTAGCGGCCCAAGTACACGTAGCGGCCCAAGTAAACGTAGTGGCCAATTTCTCGTCTGTAATTTGAGGGTTAAGCTTGAAAAACAGTTGATAATTGGCTGTCGGAGTTACGAACTCTAAACTATTGTACGGTCCTGGTATCTTGGCGTGCATACGTATATTACCACATACAACGTAAACCTCATGTTTTTCATGAGGTTTACAAGTTTCACGTTAGCTCAAATTTGGCACAACGTCATCATTCGTGATTCTCAATTTTAGTTTCAGGCGATGGACGCATGTGATTTGCCGGCGTTCAACCAATAAGGTTCAACCAGACGCTAGCAACGGTTGCCCGATGTTGCCAAGTGAAGACTTAACCGATCAATCAGACACCGACACCGATCCAGAAGATGCAGGAGTTGAACGCGAGAGGAAAAGGTGTGTTACAAGCTGGTATATAGTATATAGTATAGTAGCTGGTGTATTACAAGCTGGTTACACTAAAGGAACTTTCTGATTATTTTGTATTTAGAGTGATTTATTTAAGGTAATGTGGTCGTTTAATATGTATAAAAAGGCCCACCCAAGCCAGTAGCAACTCTTGTTTTACAGAGCGGAAGCTGGTGACGAGGATTTGGCTTTACGGGTAGTGGGTCTCAGCCAGCAGCACGCCAGCCGCATGGCTGACCGGCTGGCTCTGGAGGACCTTAACCTGGCGGTCACTAAGGGCGAGGTAAGGCTGGTGCAGAGGTAGGGCCGGTTAAGAGGTTAGGCTAGGTTAGAGGCAAGGCAGGTTTAGAGGTAAGGCTGGTGCAGAGGTAACGCTGAGTATGAGATAGGGCTGGTTTAGAGGCAGGACTGGTGCAGATGAAAGGCAGGTTTAGAGGTAAGGCTGGTGCAGAGGTAACGCTGAGTATGAGATAGGGCTGGTTTAGAGGCAGGACTGGTGCAGATGAAAGGCTGGTTTAGAGGTAAGGCTGGTGCTGAGGTAAGGCTGGTTTAGAGGTAGGGCTGGTTTAGAGGTAGCGCTGGTTTAGAGGTAAGGCTGGTTTAGCGGTAAGGCTAGGTTAGATGTAAGGCTGGTAGAGTGGTTAGGCTTTTGATGCGTTTCGGCTTTTGCAGAGGTTAGTCTTTGCAGGGCTGGTGCTCTGTCAAGGCCAGGATATACATATATTACTTAATCCTTATATCGTCTCTTGCAAATGCTGACACAAATTACGTTTCAATTCACCTCTCTGGGAATTTAGCGGCAAAACTCACTGCTTTACTAACCGATTTATTATAACCAAATTGCATTGGAGGATAAACGTCATTTTTTTGATAAACGTCAGGGGATGCAAAACACCTCGCACTATTCTCAAACTTTAAATGTTCGAGTGCCCCGGCATGGTCGTGCTTATTGCCGGGAGCTTCTCGTTTCATGTGTGCGAGTCCCGTCTCCCCGAGTGCAAGCTTGACCTCGCTCTCTTTCGATCCTGTGTTGCCGTTTCGTACTCGTGCGTGCGGTGATTGATTTTACAATTATTCTTTATAGCTCTACAGCCGGTATTTGTGTCAGAATGGCAGACATATTTTAGGAGAATAAAATATTTTAATTTATCCCCTGGTTGCGTCGCAGGGAGAGTTTCATCTTCTCCCTGCCGTCCTGTGTAGACTGTATTTGCGTGGACTGTGTGTGCAGGTAGTGGGTGTGGTGGGTGCCAACGGCGCTGGCAAGTCCACTCTTTTCAAGCTACTCGTCGGGGACGGCAGTCCCCCATCGTCAGGTAAGCGCCTGGGTCCCTGAGACCTAACTTCAAGAAATAATATTTAATTTATTGATACATACCTATTATCTGGTTAACAAAAATATGCTTTCTTTTATTGATTTAATTCAGAGAAATTGAGAGACTATCCAGTTAGCGATGCACGTCTTGCCCATAAGTAGGTCAACCTGACGCAATTTTTTCCTGCAAAAATGATGTATCAATGCAGAAAGTGTGTCACTAATGCAGAAAGTGTGTCACTAATGCAGAAAGTGTGTCACTAATGCAGAAAGTGTGTCACTAATGCAGAAAGTGTGTCGCTAATGCAGAAAGTGTCACTAATGCAGAAAGTGTGTCACTAATGCAGAAAGTGTGTCAAATAGTGGTTCATGTTGTCCAAATAGTGGTTCATGTTGTCCAAATAGTGGTTCTTGTTGTCCAAATAGTGGTTCATGTTGTCCAAATAGTGGTTCGTGTTGTGCAAATAGTGGTTCATGTTGTCCAAATAGTGGGTCATGTCGTCCAAATAGTGGTTCATGTTGTCCAAATAGTGGGTCATGTCGTCCAAATAGTGGTTCATGTCGTCCAAATAGTGGTTCATGTTGTCCAAATAGTGGTTCGTGTTGTCCAAATAGTGGTTCATGTTGTCCAAATAGTGGTTCATGTTGTCCGAATAGAGAGGACGTAGCACTGATATGCCTTTTTTAGTTGAAGTATTAAAGTACCGTAAGTATTAAGTTGAAACTTTAATTACGTCACCATTCACATAAATTTTTTTTAGCAGTTCTCACCCAATCAGAACCTATCCAAATCTAATGTGGGTGGCCCCCTGTTAAAAGTTCAGAGTATCAGGATTGATGCAGTGAGTTGATTCTGGTCAGAATCGGCGAGGAGGCCGGGCGGTTAAGAAGTGTAGAATTGGAGCAGTGAGTTGCGTGTTCGAGCCCGCAACAAGCTGAGAATGTTCTGCGATGCTATGAGTACAGGTGACAGGCCTACGGCCTTATAACCGCTGTTATTATTACTTTTATTGAGGCGAGTTCTGATGCGTTCTACCATAACACCCTACCCTTCTACCCTCACCCACCCTGCCCTCCTATTTTTTTACATTTGGTACTTTTTTATATTTATGCTACATTACCCTACCCTCGGCCACCCTACCCTCGTCCACCCTACCCTCGGCCACCCTACCCTCGCCCACCCTACCCTCGGCCACCNTATATTTTTACTACATTTTTTACTTTTTATATTTTTACTACATTTGGTACGTTAATTTTTTGTCCACCAGCGGCCTGGATGCGACCTCCCGCCTGGCGCTGCTGGCGGCCATGAGGGCGGCGGTGGTCGGCGGCCAGCGGTCGGTGGTCGTGTCCTCCCACAGCCTCGATGACATCGACGTCCTCTGCGACCGCGTCCTCGTCCTCCGCAACGGGCGGCCCGTCGCCACGGGCACCACGTGCGACGTCGCCTCCAGGTGCCAACTTATTTGAGGACAAATCTATTATGATTGATTAATTTGTATTAGGTATAAATTTGCATATTTTTGTATCGCAATGAGCGGACAAATCTATTATAATTGACTAATTTTATTATGAATTTGCTTATATTTTGTATCGCAATTTGATGGGAATCATATGTAGTGCAGTGTGCTAAAGATTGTACATGGGGTGCAATGTGATAAAGATAGTACATGGAGTACAATGATATAGAGATAGTGCATCGAGTACAATGGTATAAAGGTAGCATATCGAGGACAATGTGATAAAGATAGTATAGCGAGCTTAATAGTTGAAAGATAGTAATTCGTACTAAAGAAAACAAAGATAGCAACCCCCCACCCTCCTTCTCCCTCCCCCCGTAGGCACGGCCGCTTGCTGACGCTGACGCTGCGCTGCTGCAGCGCTGACGCCGACGTCAGGGCTGCTGTGCTGCAGCTGCTGCACGATGCTGTGCCCTGCCTGCACTTGCAGGTGCTGTGGTGCTGTGCACTATTGTCCTGTGTTGCTGTGGGGTTGTGTGATGTGGTGCTGTGCACTAGTGCTGTCTTGTGTGTTGTGCTGTGCACTATTGTCCTGTGTTGCTGTGGGGTTGTGTGCTGTGGTGCTGTGCACTAGTGCTGTCTTGTGTGTTGTGCTGTGGTGCTGTGCACTATTGTCCTGTGTTGCTGTGGGGTTGTGTGCTGTGGTGCTGTGCACTAGTGCTGTCTTGTGGTGCTGTGTACTACTGTCCTGTGTTGCTATGGGGTTGTGTACTGTGGTGCTGTGCACTAGTACTGTCTTGTGTGCTGTGCTGTGGTGCTGTGCACTAACATTAAGTACCGGTAACGCTTGTGATTTTTTCTCACACTACTTGAGTACTTCCCTGTATATTGCATGTATAGATGCTGCAGTATAACTATATTAAATATATGCCACAGTATAACTATATATTCTCCTGTAGGGGGGCTGCGGTAGCACGCTGGTGTTGGGGGGCGGTGGGCCCGTGGTGCTCTCGGTGGTGGTGAGGGCGCTGGAGGAGGCGCGGGAGCGGCGCCTGGTGGTCGACTACTCCTTCACCAACGCCTCATTCGAGGAGGTCAGGCGCGGTGGTCCTAGGCGCCGTACTAGCGAGAATATTTACCAGTTCGTTACTCATTCAGCCTATAATTGACGGCCTACAAGCTAAATCAACCAATTACAAACAAGATATCAGCCGCTACGTGTATTTAGGCCTTTACTTGTACTTCGGCCGCTACTTGCACTTATAGGCCGCTTCTTGCACTTATAGGCCGCTACTTGTACTTTGGTCGCTACTTAGGCCGCTATTTGCACTTAGGCCGCTACTTGCACTGCTGGTGTTCGGGATATTGTAAGGAATAACAGATCCGTGAATCTCTTGTAATGAAGTATTTTAGGTGGTAGTATTCAGTTAACCTCGTAACCGTAGTGTCTTGTTAGAGAATTGGCTACATTTTTATTTGAAACTTATTTTGAATTTAGTTTCTCTATCTGTCTAATAATAGTGACAATAGCACCTCGTGCAATGGAATCAAACAATAGCACCCCTTACAATAGAACCGTTCAGCACACGTTAAATAGAGGAATTAAAATGAAGTAATGTTTCCGTTGTTCGTGTATTTTTCATTGCTTCGTGAACACACTTTTTATTTGCTGCCAGACGATGCAAGTTTAATAGAGACGAAAATTCTATTGTTGAAATCATTGCATTTCTCACGTAAATGAAGGGTTTTATAGCGTCTCAAGCCTCCAGGTGTTCCGACAACTGACGGCGCAGCAGAACGATGGCTTCGTCTCGTCAGCAAACACCGCAGCTTCTCCGTTCCCTTTAAAGGACCGCAATAGCGTCAGCCGACGTCAGCTTGGCCTCAAAAATGGCAGCCGAAAGTCAGGCGTGACTAATGGCAGCCGAAAGGCTGACGTTACTAATGGCAGCCGAAAGGCTGACGTTACTATTGGCAAACTTTCCAGCCCTGGCGACACCGCCAAACGTCAAAGTTTTTATGACAACGTCAACGCTATCCTAACGAGTGAGTAATTTGTGTCACTGTTCAGTGAGTTATCTAGGTCGAGTGAGGAGGTGAGATGGGGTTGTACGTAGTTAAGTTAGGTGGGGTGTAGTTAAGTTAGGTGGGTTGTAATAGAGTTGGGTAGGTTGTAATAGAGTGAGGTGGGTTGTGGTAGAGTTGGGTGGGTTGTATCAGAATTAAGTGGGTTGTAATTGAGTTAGGTGTGTTGTAATAGAATGAGGTGGGTGGCTGAGAGAGGATGATGGAAAGACTGTGCGGTGTGCGGAATACAACTTTGAATAACAGAGCTGTGGACTTGAAATCATCATCGAGACCTCACCAGAAGATGCAACTAGTTCCTAGGCGCAATTCCTGATCGTTTGCCTCTGCCTCCCTAAAATCAGCACGGAGGACAAGTTTTTTTTTATTCTGGACGCTGAGCTCATGGCCAACTCAGCCACTCATTCAACTCTTGTTGTTAAATGAGTGCATGGTTTGTCAAGGTTTGCAAACTAAATGATTATGGTGAGTCAGCGAGCCAGCGATGGTCGTGGCACTGAAAAACTGACCTATCGCCCCCCTCTCTAGCTGCCACTTTTAGGATGGAAAATTACAACAACAAAACGGTGCATCAGCATGACAAATGAATGAAATGATGGACCCGATCCAAATTATTTGGAGGAATAATGGAAGGAAATGTTTGCTGGCCGAAGGATTTTCTAAGACTCTTTTTCTTCATGATAATTTTGCGGACTTTTCTTTGACTACAAATTTTTTTCTTTGACAAAAAAAAAAAAAAAACTTGCGATTAAGCTAACTGGAACGCGATTTTTAATTTCCAATTTGGCTTTATGATTAATACATTGTATTTGTCTTTATTAAAATTAAAAAATATTAGTGAATTTTCCTGAACATTAGTTACATTTGAAAGATGCTCTTATTTTTTCTTGTACGGTAGTGACTCATTTAATTTACTTCAATGAAGCGAAATTATTTTTCAATACATGTTAAATATTACATTTTTATCTCCAGGCTCGCCCGTCCGGTTACTGAAGCAACGCTCGTCTCAGCTCACGCCCGATAACTCAGTAGCACCGCTCGATCACGGTAAAAAATAAAAGAATCAATTATAAGTTTATTGGAAGTTATTATCAATTAGAAATTAACATTAGTTAAATTCTAAAAGAAAATTATTTCAGAACATCCTAACCCTAAATGTACATAGTACTAGGCTTGACGACACTTAATCGTATATGAATATTAAATGATGAGGAAATTATTTCAATGCATATTGCTTTAGCAAATTAAAATTGCAAATCTAACCATTCTGGATAGACCCGTTATTCGTCAAATTTGTATTTTTGAATCCTGAACAATGTATTTCGTTTCATCTACCAATAAATCACGCTACATTGCATAGTAACAATGTGCGAGTACATTGTATTCGTTATTGAATGTTATTATTAGTAGAGCTGATAATTAATTTTTATTTCAATTGGCACAATTCTAAATTGGGACATCATAAATCTTAAACCGCAATTTAGTCTCAATATATTTATCTTTCCTCAGCAGAAGACCCGCCCCCCTCAAGCCCCCCACCCTCCGACATTCACTCCTCCACCACCCAGGCGCCTTCGCCCCAAGAACCCCAACCCCCCGGAGACATGGAGCTGCACAGCACCAAGTTCTAGTTACTAGTTCCGCAGTTCTAGTTACTAGTCCAGCAGTTCTACTTACTAGTCCCGCAGTTCTATTTACTAGTCCCGCGGTTCTAGTTACTAGTCTCACAGTTCTAGTTACTAGTCCCACAGTTTTTTTGCGACGAGGTAGGTAGGTAGTTGACCTACTTGTGTGAGTAACCTGCTGTGTTACGTCCTGACGTAGAAGCCCAACACCTGACGTTATAGCGTTATGTCCCAACGTTTTAGCGTTACGTTTTGACTTTGAAGCGGCAAAGTTTAATAACGTTAGGGAGCAAACGCCTCGGCAGTTTACGTAACATCTTGGCATTGTAATGTTGTACCGGTAGACAAACAATGCACCATTGTAGGACTGTAATATGTACACATCACTTACTCCTGTCCTTAAAAACGCAATATATGTCACAATTGAAGTTAAATTTACAGTTTACAATTTAACAAACATTGTGTTATCGGACGAAAGGTGTACTAGAGTAGAAGGATTTTTATTATTCCTAAATTGATAATTTGATTGAACAATTTTACGTCGTATCAATCATTAGGATGGCAATATGGCAATAATCTAATTAGTATTCTTCAGCAAGGAATGTGTACATTTTATAATTTTTATGAATATTTAAACTACAACTGAGTTCTTTGTATCGAATTATATATAACTTTTAGATTGTCCAGCATTATTTTCAAAGGTTTGAAAGAAATTTAATTCAGTCAATTTAGAAATTATTTTTTTTTTGAAACTTTCGTGTGTTTTCATCTTGAGAATGTCAAAGAACTCAGTTGTACGTTTCACTATGTTCTACAGTGAAACTACGCATTACAGTGTATACTATTTCACTGTGTGATTGTGTAATATGTGCTGCTACTAGTACTTTGTAAGTAGTTAAAGCAATTATTAAGTTCCTTTCATTCTAGGTAGTTTATGTTTATGTTGGAACTTGGAAGGAAGCATTACATTACCTCCGATCCTCCGGATCCGGAATAACCATGCAAATGTGCAAGTATTGTCCTTTTTCGTAAATAGAGTTTGTGGTGAGTATCATGCTAAATAAATAGTGTGCTATCATGGCACCTAATTATTATTATATAGCTCATACACTAGAGTCTAGAACCAGTTCTAATTTTTGTGTGCAGCCGCTGCGTTCAAGGACTGAGGCTCCGAGGTACTGTTTTTCCCTTTTTTGCTGAGCATTTTTGTGTTTTAGAATGGATCTGACAAGTAAACGCTCTTTTCAGACTTCATCTCTTGTTTATCTTATCTACATGGCATCTGTTGTACTTTGGTCGGGTAGAATATTTCATCTGCAATTGATATGATAGTACTAGTACTGAGTGTGAGTGGTACTACATATTTGAGTATTAGTGCGGTAGTGGTACTGGTAAGTTAAAATTGTACCTAACTTGATTCCTCAAATACACAATGTAGGACAGTAGAAAATAGCTAGGATGATAATTGAATGTCACTGAAATTTGAACTTTGAAGTTTGAAGTACCTACCTAAACCCTTTAGCGGTTTAGCCTTTTCACTTTTGTGGACTGGCAACTTGGCAAGCAAAGAAATTTACAGCATTTTAATTTTTTAACATCAGTGCAACTCATGTGCAAGAATTTACTGCAAGTAGTACTAGACTAGTACCTAGGTATAAAATTAGAATTACCTACAGGAGTGAGGAGTTGACAAACAATTCTAAGATTTTTGGAAATTATCCATTTTAATTCGGTAATTCCTATGTTTTTTACGATGATTTCATATAAATTATTTGAATATGTTAACTATCAGAATTTCTATAAGAACTCGAGAAGACTTGAGCTTAAAAATTTGTTTGATATGGTCACTAGTCACTACATTAAAAATGTACAAGTTTTATTCAAATGTGAAATATTCAAGCAACCAGAAAGTGTAGTTGCTAAACTTAAAGGGTTAACTTTAAGGCAGGCTGCAGGGTAACTATAAACTATCCAGCGTCAAGTTAATTTAACTTGGATGAAGTTGTATATGATGAATTTACCACAGAAAAACAAAATGGGGAATGGAGCTGCAATGAATCTTTTTTTAGGGTGCATATTTGTCTGATTTGATGTAATCAATTCCTTGTTCACAAGTCACAAAAACGTTGAGTTACCTTCTCTTTCTAATTGCATATTTAAATTCAGTTTGAATAGTATCAAATTCAAATATACTTGGCATAGTCAACTGATTTGTTGAATTCTCTAACTACAGTGTAGGTATTGTTTGCCTGTACAGTGGTACCTTGATAGGTACTTGACTGCCTGTCTGCCTCTAGACTTGCCCAAATCGTTGCTGAAACAAAAATATTGAGTAGAAAATACATTGACAGATTTTTGGACCTCAAACAGATTTTTGGTACTCGCACCAGCCGAGTAGACCCGAATGTGATCCTTGGCCCTTCTTGGCCAGTTCATAAGTGTCAGTTTGACTCAGACCATCAGGCACCAGGGGAGTAAGATGTATGTAGTTTGTTTGAGCATTTCTTTTCAGGTTTAAACTTTTTTGTGTTGCTCTAGCCCTCAATAATGGGTCCAAAGATTGACAGTGATAAGAGGAAGACAGAGAGGAAAACAGTACAGATCATTACTTAACTGAAGAAGGAAATTATAGTAAAATATGAAAGTAGTGTATGAGTGTCTGACCTTGCATTGCAGTACAAACTGGCAAAGTCAACCATTTCCACTATCTTGAAGCATGAGAAAGTGTTGAGGAAAGCTGATGTTGCAATGGGAGTGACAGCAATTATTAAGCAAAGGCCTCAGATAATGGAAAATTGGATAAGTTACTTATCTTCATCAAGGAAAAAAATGTTGGCAGGAGACAGCATTAGTGAAGCTCTCATCTGAAAAAAGGCTTTTCAAATTTATGGAGATCTATTGAGAACTTTTGGAGGTGAAAGTGCTAGTTCATTTACTTTCAAGGCAAGAAAGGGATGGTTTGACAAATTTAGACATAGAACAGGAATTCACCTCCACCAAAGAGAGAGCGAAGGGAAAAAACACCTGAAGGTGCGTCACCTACCATCATCATGAATGGGGATTCCCCTTCCAAGCAGTAACCCCCTCCAATCCTCTCCACAACAATTCCTGTATGCCATCAACCACTCTCCAAAATGTTGGTAAATGATATGAAATGGTTTATGCTGCTTTATTCATCTTTATCATGTACTACTTGTGCACATTTATGCCTTCATTGTTGTTAAGATACACGTTCTTGTGATATTTTAGGTATTTTTCTTAATGGTAAGAAAGGATTATAAAACTTCCCATTATTAGCTATGGGAAAATTGGTTTCGGTTTTTGAATAAATTGGTTGTTGACCACCATGGTTGAACTAGTATAAGGTTGACCCATCACAAGCCCATTTTGCGGATGTAGTTTGTTGTTCGCTTGTGACGTCACTTATCTCAGTGACATCATGGGCATTAACCAATCACCAAAATGCGTTCAAACCAGTCGACCAATCCGTCAAGAGAATGACGGGTTTGTTTATGTTTCTCGACATAAGTGATGTAACAAGAAAGCTGAACTGAAAGACAGAACTTCTCATGGGTCAACCTTATATAGTTCAACCATGGTTGACGTTGACCACCACCTCAGAACGGATTATGGTCAAGTACCAAAGTACCGCTGTACTTGTAAATTATAAATATTGGAAAATGCTGATGAATTGATGAATGTGATGCATGACTCCAAAAGAAATTTTTTAATTCTTTCCCATATCTTTTGAAGAATTGCACTTGGCACTGTGAAGTTTGTAACAAACCACATGACTCCTACTGGTGTATATATTTGCTTAAATTTGATTGCTGCCATTTGCTCAAATTTGATTGCAGCAATAATTGCTGCTACTTGCTCAAAATTTGCACCAAATGTCCTCCAGTAGCATTGGATGTTAGCTATTTCCTTTTCATAAATCACCAACATTTTCCCAGAGTCAACTTCTGCAGCCATTAGGTCATAGAAAATGTTGTGCAATGTCATGGTTTTGATGTTTTTGCCATTTCTAAACATCAATTTAGCTTCCCTACAACGTCCTAAGAACCAAAAGGACCCAAATTTCACCAATCCATTTTCATTCTGCACAGACACATCAAAATTACCAAAATAAATTTTTTGGTTTATCAATTTGAACAATGAAGAATTTGTCATTTATTTGTTCTTTTCAATTGTCCAAATTCATTAATTTTGTTGAATGTTCCAGCGATTCTTATAGGCTTCTGTTACTTACACCCCAGCAATATCCATTATGTCATCATTTCCATCTGACTCCTCAGAAAGATCCTCTTCAGTAAAGAAACTCTCATACAATCATCACAATCAGAGCTATGGTAACCTATCTCCTTAATTGCTTGGTATAATTTGTTTTTTCTTAGGCTTCATTTTTGCAATAGGGGTTCATGACAAACAAGCAATTTCTTTGTAATCTTTTTCTATCTCTTCTTCTTTTATTACTGCTGTGATCATGTCTACTTGTCATTGTTCCTGCCATCAGCATTTGTGTTTGGAGTGTGGTTAGGCCATTTTCTCACAATCTGTACAAAGCTGAATGTTATGTTGAATTGGGAGTAGACATGGGTGTTGAATTGTGTAGAGCTGGAAATTTCATGCTGATTGCCCTGATCATCCATCTCCTGCAAACAGACCCACCAACCCTTAACTATAACTGGGAGAAATATATACCACGTAGTATGTTTGTAAAAACGGCAATAATGCTTTCCAGCAACAGCATCACTTTCACAAATTTATATTTTTAAGTTTCATCTAGGTGGACACTGGGACAATGTTGTGTATCTCCTATTGTCATTTCATCTTGTCAATAATGTTAGACTATCCTCAGTTTCAGGCATCAACAGGCTCCTAATGTTGTGATGGCTAGCTACCCCCAAGAGGACAGTGTTAAAATGTGCAAACTCTCTGACCTGAGAGTCTGCACACTCTTGTGTGATAAGTCAGGCCACTGCACTGGAGTATCTGCAAGTTCAGGTAAGAAGTACAGAGGTGAGGTGTGTCTATAATCTGCACCCACTACCTGCTGTTGGGCTTTTGTCAGGATAATGTTCAAATGATTAGAATTTACATTCATGGGAAACTAGAATGAATGTATACGGTAGTTTATTACCTCCATATTAACAAATTTACTATCATTATTCTCATAATATAGAAATTCTCATGCACTGTGGCTGATGGATGTGAAATCATCCTTGAGCAGAATATTTGTGCCAAAAGCCCTGTATTGGAAGAACTCTTTATCTTACTCTAACGAGCTATGTGGAAGAATGAGAGAGATATGTAACTAGAATTCCTCCTCTTTGGTATCAGTAAACCAATATTTCATACTTTCATTCACTACAACTGAACAATGGCTATAAACATTTTTTCAGGAGTCATTTCATTCCTTTCAGAATTGTATTTTCTGAAAATAACTTACAGGATTTAACTCGTAATTTCAAATAACCTGAGTTGTTCCTTTCCTTACTTATGTTTTTATTTTTCAGCATTGGTGACTGATGCTTCATCTCCAGTCTTTGAAATTCCGGCTGTTTACGTCAAGGAGGAGCCTAGCGATGAGATGGAAGTCATATCTGTGAAGGAAGAACCCTTCTTGTATGGTTATGAGGTACACAAATGTTATATAATATTAATACAATGCGATACACAAATATTATATAATATTAATAAATTCATGTTCTATCTTGAGGAACCTCAATTAAAAAAAATTTGTCAATTCCTCCTTTGAGAATGAATTTTCACTCAACACTGAAATTGTAGGCATTTGGTTTCAAAATGTTCAGGCAACAGACTTTCCTTTTCCATTGTGATAATTTGGTTTGATTTTTTGCCCATATACGTATGCCTATATGCATGTCACTTCATTGTCCTGAAATGTTGCTCAGGCTTAGAAGTTGAATAAAATTACTATGTAAAGATCATATCTGTAACAACGTCAATGAACGTGTATTTACCTAGTCAAGCATATGTTGACCAATACGTACTTGACCACATATAAAATTTTCTTGATGAAAAATTTATCCAGACTCCTCATTCTGTTGTTTTTTTCATTCCCATAGCTTCCATTAAGTGAATCTACCAGTCATGATAGCAGTGGCCAGACAGCACCCTTTCCATTACCTAGTGTGCCTTGCAAGACGGAACCTCAACTTCCAACTCAGGACGCCCATCAATGCTCAGAGCAATACAATGATTCCTCATTAACAAAGCTAACTCTTGATGCTGACAAATTAATAAAAAATAGATCTGAGTGTGTTGGAACTGGACTAGAATCAATAATGCATGAAAATTCGCTCATTGATGGACTCTCTACCAAAGATAGCTGGCATTCAGTAAAAGCTTCTCCCCCAAAATCATCCAGAATATCTACACGGAAAAGAAAAGCTGCATCAATAATGCATCAAAATTTGCTCATTGATGCACCATCTACCGAAGGCAAAAGGCATTCAGTAAAAGCTTCTCCCCCAAAATCATCCAGAATATCTACACGGAAACGAAAAGCTGCATTTAATTCCAATACTTCTAATGTTGGTCCATTACCTGTTAAAAAGAAATGCTGCAGACGAATCAACGAAAGAACCAAACACCAACCAGAGAAACCCATCTCATTGCCTCACAAAACTGTTGAATCAAATATGAAGCTAGAAGCTCCATCAACTTCAAGTCACGTATCGGCTTGGAATGCATTCATTAGCGATGATATGGTTACCGCTATTGTCGATGCAACAAATATAAAGATCAAACCTAAGATAATTGAAACTGTAAACAAGAAGGAACTTTATTACATAAGATATACTGACTCAGAAGAAATCAAAGCCTTCATTGGGCTCTGCTACATGAGGGGAGCACTTGGTATAACTCATCTAAACGCCCAATTATTATTCAGCGAAGTTGTTGGCCCGCCAATATTTGTTACTACCATGTCTGCTAACCGATTTGGATTTCTTCTAGATAATATCTGCTTTGACGACATTAACACCAGGGCCGATCGACTGCCCTTTGACAAATTTGCTGCGATGAGAGATGTCTTCGAAATGTTCAACAGGAATTGCGGATCTGCGCTTGATCTCTGCGATTATCTTTCTTTAAATGAAACCGTCTACCCATGCCGTACGGTTCTCGGGCAAGAAACTCCAAGCAAGCCTGCTCAACCTTGCCTCCATTTTCAGTCTATAAACTCGGCGAAATTTCCATATACTTATCAAACTTTTGTGCCTTGTGGTAAACCTGAAAAAACTCCGGCGCCCTATCACACCCAGGGTTCTGTGGCGATTGCAAAAAGATTAATTGATGACTTGGGAAAATATTCTAATTTAGAAAGTGTAAATATTATTATTTACGGGCTGAACCCTAATGTGGAACTTTGTGAATGGCTTCTAAATAAGAAAATCAATGTTCTTAAAACCACGTTGCCCAACCACAAAAATAATAAAACGACATTTCTTCAGAAGAGGGAAGGGTTTTCCTACAACTTGATCACTTTGAAAACCAACAAGAAACCCTCATTCCACTCGCAGGTTGCTAGCGTAAAAGCATGGAACGATCAAGGTGAGCAGCTTCCATCTACGCCTTGCCGCCTGGAATCAGCTACAGCCGATGATCAGGATAGGAAAAAAGATGTAGAAATTGTAGGTACAAGAATTAGATCCTACTCAACAAACACTAAACCCAAACGATGGACCTTATCAGTGCTTTCATACATGCTCGACACAGCTCGAGCTAATGCCCAGGTTTTGTGGGAACGGAATGAACACAAAAGCCCTAATAGCACCAACTCATTCAAATTTTTATTCCAATTGGCAACTGATCTCGTCCATGATCATATCAGCAAACAAAACAAAAATTACCTCACCTCAATAACACAAAAAATTGCAGCATACTTGAGTGTTCACAGCGAAAGCCATACTTCAGAACTGTCAGAGACAGAAGCATTAACAGCAGCATCGCTCAGCAGAGGAGTAGAGCCTGGAAACTCCATCGCTGCTACCGACGCAACCTTCTCCGACTCTCCCGCTACGAACGTGACTACACCGGTTACAAGGAAGCGATGTTTCAAATGCGTCGAGGAGAAATGTCGCATCATGGTAGCTGAGGAAAGAAAGAAGAAGCAAGCAGCGATGAGCCGAGTTACGACTGCGTGCAAGATGTGCCACAAAGCTGTTTGTAAGCAACACTTCGAACCTATTTGTGTAGACTGTTCGCTAACTAATAAATAATAGCGTTGTATGCACGTGTCTTCGAAATATTGCTTTTTCACTTTTAGCTCGCATTCTTTTTCATATTATAAGTACGGTATTCATTTTTAATTTGAGCCATCGGGAAACTTTTCCATATTATATGTAGGGTACTCATTTGGAATTTGTGCTATCGGAAAAACGAGGGAAAATGAAAGTTTTAGAAATAATAATGTGATTAAACTTACCTTATGAAAAAAATCGGTTATAAATGTTGGTAGGAAGAAACTCCAACCAGTATAAATTCAAGATTACAAAAGGGTATATACAGATACTGCGTGTTTACCCGAGGCGATTAGTGTTGGGGAATTGGCATTGTCATTGTATTATAAATTTCTTTTACTATTAAGTTCAAAGTTGTGGTTATACGCAGACGCAGGAAATAACAGTTTATAATAAAAATGAAGATGTATTTACTTCCCCTGAAAGTGAAATTTGGTCTTACCCGTTTATGCAATATGCATGCATAGTGCAGCTTGCACTCTAGTATCATATCATATCACAGTTATGGCGACGCTGAAGAACAGGCCAGTTGTTAACAGAAGATCTAAAAACATATCCTTTGACCTGATATTTTCCAAACTGACAATAGTTTGAAATAGCTACTAAACTTCCACCGGGTTCGATATGGTGCTATGCGTTTCACGTATGAAGATATATTTCTCCAAACCTTTATCTAGTCTGTTCCTGAACGCGTTCATACTCGGAGCGCCAACGATGTAATCGGGGAGGCTGTTCCACCTGTCGGTGATTCGAAGCGGGAAGAAATGCTGTCGCATGGATGAGTTGCACCACAGTTTTTTTTAGTTGATAGCCGTCCCTGGTGTTGGTTCTTGTTTCAAATATCCGGCTAATGTGGCGCGGGTCTTGGATCAATCGCGCTCATCTATACAATTTTGAAATTCGAAGAATAATGTGCATTCTTAAAAAATCTGCTATTCAATCTAGTTTTCAAATTTGAGGATACTTAGGATTGAAAAGTGACGCGAATTCTTGAAATATTTGGTATTCATTTGATTTATGTCTTTTTATTTATGAAACAAAAGAAAAATTCTCCCCCTAATGATGGCACTGTTTTTCCTCCTCTTTCTTTGTTTACATTTGTCGAAATCTAGTGAGCTAAAGGCCTGCATCATCCAATTATATCGAAATCATAAAAATTAATCACAATTATAACGAAAAAAAACTACGAGCGTAATGGGATGCTGCACACTCGCCTCCTCGACGGCAGCCACCGGGCCCTAATCATTACACTAATTTGTGTATTGCAATCCATAGGTTTCTAGTACGTCCTTCAACGCTTTCAATTATATTAAAAATACCAACGAATTATTGTAATGATCACTTTACTTTACGGCAGACTCAGTGGGCACGCGTTTCTCGTAATGTAAACGTCTTATGGTTAGAAGCCACAAGATTTATTAGGTTTTGCGATTAGTTGATTACAGGCGAGGAATTCTCTGTGAGAGTTGATATTATTGAGCAGTAAGAAATTTGTACTCCTTAACTAAAATAAACCCTAATTATTGATTTTGATGGTCAATTAGCATTGTAATTGTTTATATACAGATAGATATGAAGACACTATGGAGATGAAACGATCGAACTTAAATTCTCAAGCCATCAAATTAGTTCATCTCTTGTCAATAACATTAAATATTCTCGTTAAACTTGAAATTTTATCAGCCATCGAATTCCTTTATAATACTACATATGGTAATATCTAATATAAACCAGATATACTGTAAAGCCGTTGGCGGCCGTTGCCATTATGGCAGTATACATATATTGATATAACAATACATAGTGCACTTCAGTGAATGTGAAATCGTAGCTCTCAATTTCTTGTCAAGTGTAAATCACTAAATGCTTCCCCTCCCTAAGCGTGCTAATACTTGATACGAGTCGGGCTTGAAGTGAACTAGGTAGGTAGGTGTTAACTCGTGCATGAGTGGCATCGCGACGTCATTCATGGTCATGGACTCATGGTCACCACTCACTAGTCGGTGCTGCACTGTGGACAGTTGTTATATTAATTTTGTGTGAACATGCTTTTGGTATTCAAACGCTAGGAGTAAGAGTGAGAATACATGAACTCAATCTATACAATTTAAATGGAATTATACACCAGCGTTATATCATGAGCAATGCAATGTCGAACGAGAATTGTCACAAATAAATGATTAACACAAATGCCTCAAAAATGTGATGTGTGCAATGGGTTTCATGGCAACATAAGGGCTGGATACCACAAACCACTCATTTGCTTAGTATCCCCTCATTCCAACTTGAATCTTTTACATCCTGTGCACCAAAGCAGCACCGACTCTTCCCACTCAGTCGGGGATCTCTAATTGTTTTGGTGCGCCTAACCTCGACGGCTGTCACAACTGCTGGTGAGCTTCCCACCACTCCCTGGAAATTGTCGTGTCACCCGAGAGGATTTGTGCCTTGGAGCCTTAACTGGATATATGCTAAATATGGCGCTTATCTTGGACTTTTTAAACAAACAACGGAGGGTATGTGTGGAAAATACAATCGGAAAACCTATGAAAATTCTCACCAGGCAAACATTATGACTATAGTTGTTAATGTTCTTATTTTTTTCGATTAATTGTTTGTTGAAAAAATTTAACGCATTGCTGCTGACGCTGCCTATACGATATCTCCTCAGGGAAAATAGAATAGATTTCTTGATCGCGCGTTATATTCTAAACTTATCAGTTTAAATATTATTCAATAACTAAACCAAGCAAGTAAAACACTTGACGATAAGAGAAAACAAAGAACTGATTATTTAAATGAAAATGTCTTCTAAATTTTTGGCATCACGGATAAATTCAACCAGCTCAATGTCATGGCCGTACTCTGAATTACGAATAGCAACAAATATTCGACGACTATAAATATTCTGAATGGCCGAGCATCACAGTAGTTTATTTCCTGTTGCTGTGTTCGCAGAAGATGGAAGTCGCAGCAGTTTCAAAGCTGCAAGTCATCGCTCCTAGCCCAAAGTTGACCTGAATTTAGAAACTGCATAAACTTGAGCCCAAAACATACGCGGCAACTTATTCCCCGGAACTTCGGGCAGCCTAAAATCTGCATCGAGTATATAAAGCACGCAGCAGCGTCTTGTGTTTAGGAGGTCAAGTTCAACTAGACACCTGGGTAATTCTGTACATAGGAAATAGAGTATTCTAAGCTTTCTAGGAAATCCTGTGTCTAGGCGATATAACACCACAATACTTCTAGGTAGCTTTGTATCTAGGAGACCAAGCTTCATGTGACGTCTAGGTAACTTTGGGTCTAGAAGACCAAGCTCCACGTGACGTTTAGGCAACTCCGTGTATAGAAGACCAATCTCTGTAAGGCTTCTAAGTAACTATGTATCTAAATCAGCTCTACGAGACTCCTAGGTAACTAAGTGTCTAGAAGATTAAGCTCTACGAGACTCCTAGGTAACTATGTGTCTAGAAGATTAAGCTCTACAAGACTCCTAGGTAACTAAATGTCTAGACTCTAGAAGATTAAGCTCTATGAGACTCCTATAGGTAACTATGTGTCTAGAAGATTAAGCTCCACGTGACTTCCAGGTAACTCTGTTCTTGAAGATCAAGCTCTACAAGACATCTAGGTAACTGTGTCTAGATTATCAAGCTCTTCGAGACTTCTAGGTAACTCTGTGTCTAGATCAAGCTCTCCGATAGTTCTAGGTAACTCTGTATTTAAGAGATCAAGCTCAGTCAAATTACACCTGGACGTGGCGCGGCTAAACAACGATGCTTTACATGTCTAACTGGTATTATCGAACTAAACGGTTCACACGACACTCAAATGCGTTTAGTTATTTAATAAAATCTCACAGAAAATAAATCTTCAACGTTCTACCTGCTTCTGACTCAAGTTCACAAAAGTTTTATTTTTTGTTCATAAAAGAAGTATAATATGAGGTTAGTTCATGCATCAATAAAATTATGCCGGATTTTTTTCGCACTAAATCCATGTTGGGAAAATTTTCTCATTTTTTGTCGAATTCCAATTTTTCGCCCTGGCACTCATGAACAACTAAGCCTTGCATATGAACTCAGAATAGAATAAATTTGACATAAGAGTGTAATCGCTAACTTGATTTCTTGGTCTCCATTTCTTTCAGGTCTCATAATGGACATCCGGGTCTGCAGATTCCTGAGAACCAAATCTAATTAAGTGATCGCCCTTGACGTCAGTCCTGGGGTGCCTCAACTTAGGTAGTCTCGCAATGCTATTCCTACGAGACGTCGAGAAGAGGTATTGGGAACCGACAATTGTCTTGGCCACGAAGGATTGAAGAAGCAGGGAGACTGGCCTGCTGAGGGGGAAATCGTGAGTCTTTAATGAACCAAAAAAGGCTTTTGCTGACTGACTTTCGACGGCCACTGCAGAGCGTCTGCGTTGATTTTCATGCAAAAATTATTAATCTATTTGAAAAATCTTTAACCTTCCTTAAAAAACGATTACGTTGATGAAGAAGCTCGTCGTACTTATTTTCATGTATCAGGCATGCAACTCAGTAGCCGTGCTTCCAATTCAGACTAACCGTTGAACGTTGAATTTTCGGAACATGGAACGATAATTTAAAGACTCAGTATTATCCATTTGAAATTCAGAAACGGCGACACACATCCGCAATAATGAGTTTCCATGGAGCATTCACGTAATTCCATGTAATTTTAGGATTGCAAAGCATCGTCTATTTTGTACATCGTCTTTTTTGTACTTTTTTATGGTAGAGAGCGCGCCGCCGAGATTCCGGTGCAAGCTTCAGCGGCAAGGCAATGAAGCCAAAAAGCTTAACATTCAGAGGAATTGAGAGGCGTTGTCCAATTAGTAATTATATCAATTATTATTATTATAAGAAGCAGTTATCGTGGCGTCTGGTCCAAATAACTATGAGGGCACGTTACACTCAAGTTTTAGAGTAAGTGAAAAATAAATAAACACGAGAATGGATAAGAACGGATAAAAATGACTAAGCACTCGATTATTTGGCTCTACGAAATGCGATGCACTTCTCTACTCTTGTATGAGTCATCCGGACCTAGTTGCGCCCGTCAAAAAGGACATGCCAATGCAGAAAGTGTGCCACTATTTAGACAATATGAGCCATTCATTCATGTGAGTGTTGGCTGAGAGGTCGAGTCTGGTGCCGCTGTTTTACCTGCAGAGGTGCAGAGAATACCAGAAGATGAGGCAAGCTGCCACGTCCCTGAGGACGCAAGTTGATTTGCCTAAAACCAGGCCGAGAAAGAGAGCCTCATCGCGGCCACTGCGCCTCACGCAAATGTCCTCACTTGTCGTGGCCTCTCCCGCGCTTCTGCCCTGCTAACCAGCTGCTCTTATTTCTGCGCTTATATCCTGCAGTGCTTTTATTGTGATCCTTTCATTGCAGTGCTGTTATTGTGCTGCTGCATTTGTGGTAGTGTATTTACCTGCACTGCTGTTGATGTGATGATGTTTTTGTGGTAGTGTTTATACATGCTGTGCTGTTATTGTAATGCTTGCCTTGCGGCACTGTTATTTATTGATTGCTGCCCGTGCAGTGTGATCGTTGCGGTGATCTTAATTTTGTGATTATTGCTGTACGCGACGTTATTGCTGTGCGTGACGGTATTGCTGTTATTATTTGAAGTTACATTTAAATATATATCGATATACAGTTGATAGTTCCTTCAAATTCCATGCT